AACATCAGAGGTGGGATCAGGTGCCATGGAGGAGTAGGCATCCCCTGCCGAGCGGTCACACCCGCCGTGTGCTCCTTGTCATGATAGGGAAATAACGGAAAAATCCGTCGACAATTCAGTGTGTAAATAATGGCCTAACAATTAGAATGAAAAACGTCAGTCAGCATTTGACTCAATGATAAATTGTATTTGCTGACAAGGTCATTGTATCGACCATATAACTTACGAAATGATGACTTCAAACGGGACAGCTGAAATTAAATGTAAATCATACATGGTACCAGTTTTGATGCGCCAGATGCACATTTCGACAAATTATGTTTCCAAACTGATTCTCGTGCCAACAAGTTGGAAATCCAAAGTATTTAAATAAAAAGACTTTGAAGAGCTGAAAAAAGGTGCCAAAGACTGGAACAAATACCTCAAAGGATCAGAGCTATGCATGAGGGAGATAATCCTTAATTTTGAAATAAATTTCTCAATTTTACCATAGCAATTAAACATACTCGTATATCCGTATTTTTAAGCTAGAACCGACGTATTAGCTACTGGGCTGTAGAGACCCTTGGGGACTTACAGTCCACAAGCAGAGGCCTCGACCCAGGGGTCATAAATACCTTTTTAACTTTGACAAGTAAAGTGCTCAAGAAAATACGATAGGGAATCAGATATGAATTCAGAAATATACACGTTTGATCTGAGGTTTTCATTTCTTCATAATAACAGAAATATAATTCGAAATACTTATCTTATAAGGAAGCCGTGCACTTTAATCATTAAAATGTAAATTTGCTGCAAAATGTCGAGATAAGTGAGGGTTATTGTTAAGTTGCTTTTAAATTTAGACTTAAATGTAAACACTGGTGATGATATTCAAATAAATTAATAAATATCATTCCATATTCGTATTCTATATAATACAAGTATTAAAATTCATATATCTATCAGAAACAAAACCGATACAGCAAGGATATATAATTATGAATAAGATTCATTCCAAATTTCTACCACATTGCGTGAACATTTAACATTTTATAAATTGAAGTTAAATGTCAATTCCATTCCCGTACAATAATCATACTGCTTATGCGACCAGGTTCCCTTAGGGTAGCAGAATTTACATTGAATATTATTCTGTTAAATATTAAAATACATCTGTTGCATATCAATGAAGCTCCATTAAGGACACAAAATACGTTTTGGTCTATTTTTCTTCATAGAAAGGACATGGTATCAATTTGATACAAATTATAGCTTGAAGATGATAAATTTAAATGTGACAAAGTCAGTAACTATACTTCTTAAGAGGCCTTTTGACGGTAACTTGTCATAATCGAAATCAACTACTTTCCTCTCAATATTTTAAAGATATATGGCATCGTCAGGGCTTATAATGACATTGGATTCCTATGTCTTTTGTTCCCATCTCTTAATTCAACGATTCATATTTAATGGGATATCTTGTCATATTTGCAACATTTTCTGAGAATTTTATTAGGAAACCTTTCATATGTCAACCACACTCTAATGGTATCAAGATGAGTCAGAGTATATACAAGTAAACAAACTCTAGATCTCCCCTTTTTGTTAAAATGGAAAAGGCGGCTTCCTTACAATTGCGGAGTGTATTGTGACAAAACCCTTTTGTTTTGAAATGATAACATGCAAAGTAAAGAGTGTATTGATATCTTATAAAAACATGAATGCAGAGCATGAATTATACTTTCTAGGCAATAGATTGCTATGCGTTGTATTTTCCACATAATTCCACATCATTTCTTTTTGTTTTCCTCTCTTGGATCTGCTTAGCACTGTTCTCAAGTTCATCTAAGAAAATCAAAACTCTTTCCTTTGATTTAAATTGTCAATACATTTTATCAAGGGAATCAAACTGTGTATAACTTTCTTGATATCGAAGAAACAAGAATATTTAAATAACCGATATAAAATTTGTATGAACATTCTTACTTGAAAGACTGTTAAGTGAAACACTTTTTGTCAACTTTATAACATATAATGGTTTCCAGGGGTATAACTCTCAGGCAACAACAATTAAGCGGAACACTTAATGATTGGCATTAAAAATATACAATTGCTAAAATCCTGACAAAAGAAACCTTTAAAACTAATCCTTTTGCTACCACATTGCAGGAAAAAAGAACCTTGTTGAACTGCATGAATCAAGTTTATGACATGTTTAAACCTCTAGTGTATCCAGCTAACAAGTGACAAATCAATGTGAATAAAATATTCCCATTTTGATGTTTACCTCAATACAATCAATCTAGTAATTAGTCAGCCGTAATGATTTCCACTAGAATATGTATATATAATCATCCCTAGTGTGTTGCTTATGTCTTTTGTTCCAATAATTACTTTTTGTACTTTAGTACTTCAAAATTAAATAAAATTAAAAACTTTTATGTGGATATAAAGTAATTGATGTGAAGAAGCACGTTGTTGTTAATTACGTGTCATTATGACGGATGATTACAATATACTTCAAAGAGTTAATCATGCTACATGCACGAAATAATATTTTTCCCTGATATCCTTGGCAAAATAAGAGAATATAATACTCTTTAATTTAGAACACTTGAAATTGAAAATCATTACAAACTATTGTCGTAACCCTGCTATTAATTAAAAGGAGAACAAAACCCCAAAGGGTAAATCCAGAAATTAAATGAAGCATTAAGTTTTTGTTTTGTTTTTTGTTTTTTTCAAAACAAGTCACAACCGTAAAACTCAGAACATGAGCAACAGGAATAAATATTAAATTGGTTAATTGTTCATCGTAAAAATACACTTCGTGGTTAAAATCGCTACAAAACAACACGCTTCAAAATTAAATCAATTCTAATTAGAAATATAGCACGCTATTGATTTGCCAAGTAAACATACTCAAAATGTTTTGAGAACTAATGAGATTGAGGAGAGATTAAAGAGACAATATCTGCGAGAAGTACCATAATGTCAGTACAGCTCTAGAGCACAATAACCACTATTTAATTTCAAACGCTGGATCTTACTCTGGCATCGGGATATTGTTCTAAAGTTTTATGTACTTTGAAATATTAATGTGATCAAGTGTAATCCATACTAAGAACTGTCGTCTGCTGATTTGTTTGCTTAATTTCTGGGAGATATCATGTACGTGTTCCTCGCAGAAATTGGAATGCTTCTCCTGGTTTTCTTTGAGCATGGGATTTCTGTGCCAAACACAATAGGCAAGTTGATATTTGACTTTTACGGCTTATTCTTGGAATCTTCGATGTATAAGCGTAGAATATAATGATGCTCTGTAGAATCAAGTGATCTATTGATTTTTCCTTTGAATGAGATTACATTTGTCATGAAATAGTCAACATATTATCCAGAATACTGACGAATTAGTTTTAATGTAAATATCACACTTTGCTTTGATAAATTCATTAGAAAATTGCATTGCAGACTGGTATATCATTTATGTTAGATTAAAAAAAAATACTTTTAATATTTTACTTGCTCTTCAAAAAAGAATAACCTGGTTGTTAATAGTAGTCATTGAAATTAATACTTCTCTGCTGATAAAAAAAAGAGAGTCCAACCAGACTGTTTTTGCCTCAATTCATACTGTTTACAGAGACCTACAGAATTCTACCCTATGGCTAATATTCTTTTACTTGTACATTTTTGGATCAAAATAGATTTTTAAAAAATGGTGAAAAAGAGCAGCAAAGGTTCACTCTTTGCATAAAAATGAACTGTTATATTTTTAAATCAACTGTCACTCAAATTTCAAACGTTTTCATGCAGAGGCAACAACTTGCATTTTAACTTACAATAACCATTCTGTTTAGCATCCCAGTACATGATAGTGTGCTATGTAGTTAAATCGATTAAAAACATCAAGAAAACAGACAGCAATAATTTTAGAATATCAATGTGGTAAAAAATAGAAATAAATATCAAATAATATTTTTGTTATAAAATTGGCAAGGATATCATTATGTTCATTCTAAATGTGCCATATTGATCATTTTTAGAGAGATTAAAGGCACCGTAAAATGCAATAGAATATCTTTCTTTGCCTAGAATACCAACATACAGATATTTATCTTAAATACAGAATAAAAAAGAAGGGATCACACCTCATTCTTGATTGCATGTTGAAGTTTTCTATGCATTTTGACTGTGTCAGAGCAATTTCAGCAAAATCAGATTGATTTGGTTGTGACCCCCAGAAAAGAGAACCCGTCTAAGTGAGCAGTGTATGGTGTTGATCTGACATATACATTTAATAGAAAGGTTATTGCAATTATACAATAGAAGTTGTTACTAAATTTGTGTATGCAAATAAGTTCTTGCCAGAAAATCATTTCAAATTTGCATCTCTGCCAAAGAAAACAAATGTTACTAAATTAGAATAAGAAGGACACGTACCGTTTAATGCCAGTCTTTTTTTTAAGCGAAGACACGAGTTAAGTTACTTTGAAATTCAGTGACTCCACCGCTGTATCATTGGATCAGAAAACACGTTATTTTCACTGCAAAGGCGTGGGTAAAAACAGGATGTAATTAATTTGCAATCACTATCTCTGACCTGAATTAATTTTTTCCGGGTAAATAAATATTTCTTTTGCAGATAAATCAACTATGAATTTGGAATTTGTTTTCATAAACATCAATCACTTTTCAGTTGTGAAACAGATATTTTCTCTGAAATTTTGTTTCGATTAAAACGGCATTGAAAAATTCTATACAATAGGTTGTCTATTAGAAGTTGGCCTCTTACTTAACTTTATTAAATCAATATAATCTTTGATGATAATATAATTAAATAATTTTTTTGCTCCAACAAATGTTTATTTCAAGATATGTATTTTCAACAGCTTATGATTGATGATTGATTTTTTTTTTTTTTAGCAATTTATGCTAGAGAAAAATAATCCATTTTTGTTATGAATATCAATATTTACCTTACCTCATTAATACTAAAAACATCTTCTTTTTTTTAGGTATAATCAATAGCGGATGTTCCCACCAGCAGATGGACAATGACAGTTTGAGGTCTTCCACACTAGAACTGAACAACAGCACTATAAACATAATATGGGCTCAAGCAGATTTCTCAGAAATGTACCAAGTTCTTCAAAAAGGTGAACAAATGCTGACGAATAAATAAAAAAAAAACGGATAAAGTATTTAACAATTGCTAAGCATTCATAAATATAAAAATCCAATTCTGTATCTTATATAGAAAAAGGTCAAAAACTATGACAAAGACACTGTTCCTTTTCTCCCCTTCACATTTGCCATGTGAAAGGAATGTTGCTTTCCTCATCGAGAGACCATTTTAATCATTGCGCTATAACGCAGAAGGCTAAAATCATGCAAGAACAATATTTCATTTAACCTACAATGTAACTTTTATTAAACTGATTTGAATATTGATAAGGGTACAATTTTAAATGCATCATTCATCAATATGAAAATTTACAGGTATCAAAACTTTTAATCCCGTGTATTTGGTTTAGAAAAAGCGAAAGGCCAAAATTGTTTGTTGAGCCGTTCCTAGGATAAAGTTTGTACGGTATGCAGTTCTTTTGATTATGCATACGGAAATAACCAATCTTTTTTAAACTTTTTTGAGCAATGTGCAACTTCAAACCTTCATCGGTATATTTGACTTCTCTGTATGAGTAAAAAAAAATTCTCGAATGGAACGAAACACATCAACCATTCAATTAATCAATCAATAATTTAATTCTTATCGTAACACGTAATATTATTGGACAAAAAATTTACTATATATTGTATAAATTGGGTTGCCTACGTCACAATGATTTGCGACAAAAACGTATCGATCCACCTGACGTTAAATTCAAATTTTGTACAATTTGAAGTCATTTTTTATGGGCAATCATCTCTTTTCTAACACTAAATGAATGAAAATTTAATTATAAGGAATGAATTTAATAGCTACCCAATTTATACGGTATAAAGTGGGTTGGAACAGTTTATGTTTTTTTTTACAAACCGCTTCGCGGTTTATAAAGCGTTTTGACTGGTTATTAAATTTATTGTAAATTCTATTAAATTCTGTTAAATTCATTCCTTAAATCAATGAATCAGTCAAATTCACAATGAGTTTAGAGAAGGAATGGCGAACATCACTCTTAATTGTCTGTAAACTGCCTCAACCCACTTTAAACCGTATAAATTGAGTAGCTATTAAATTCATTCCTTAAATCAATGAACCAGTCAAATCGATTCTGGTTAGAGTACTGAAAATTTCTTAAAGTTGTACATTTTACATATTAGGTACTTGCTAATAATTCTTTTTTTAAAGTTCGTTTTTACTACAGGTAGTATGGTTTTTGTTAACAAGAATATTTCATGTTTTAGTCACAGAATTGAAAAAGAACAGCGCCGATCTTGTTTATGTCAATTCAACCAATCATCGAATCATATTGACAATTTCATACTTGAACACCACGCCCACTCTGCACCTAAATGACGTAGACCAAGAGAGTGTGGAAGACCTCGTGGCGCCAGACAAGTATTCCTATTGCCACGAAGTGAAACCAGCGCTACACAGTGGACAAACAGAAGCATGTTTATCAATTAAATTTGGAGAAAACTATTTTGATGAAGAAACCATAACAGTTATGGTTGCTCGAATTTTGACGCATCTGCATTGGAAATCCATGATAACATTTTTTGAAAATGCGACTGGTAATCAAAATAAAGCTATGAATTTCATGCGTATTAGAGTGTAAATGTTGACTTTATTAATTTTGATAAGACAATGACTTTGTTGCATTCAAAAGTTTTTGGGTATATCTAGTCTCAAAACGTTTAAGGTATTGAGATGAAGGTAAAATTAAATATCTTATCTCTAATTTCAGCACACAATGTAGGTAGAATCCTGAACAGAGTAAATGAGATCGGTCTGAATCACAGGACATATAATGTTGACAGTTTAAGGAACGCAGAGGAAATTCGGAGCGTACTTGATTTAATTCACAATGAGTTTACAGAAGGAATGGCGAACATCACTCTTGTCTGTAATTTGAACTGTACTCGTCGTATACTGAATGAGGTAATAAATTATTAATTTGATGAAGTGTTTATGCTGAATGATCCATCTAACATATTGTCAGTTAATGATACCAGAGATAAAGACATAAAGAAATGATCATGAACCTGAAATTTCATTTCGTGCCAAATGTTGAATCAACATGTTGGCTATCGTATACATGTTACAACTTAAAAAAAAGCATGTAATTATCTTTATTTACACATATATGGTGATCTCCTTAGTGATGAGCCTTGAACTAAAAATGTAGTGTATATCTAAATTATGAATGAAGTCAGTAACCTCTTATTTCCCCAGTGTTACAACTATCAATCAATATACTGGGTTTTGAAACATAAATGAGAGAAAATTTTAAAATCAATCTGATCTTGAACAATTAAATTGGTTAAGATGATAGTGCACAAAAATCAAATAATAAAAAAAAGTTTGATAACACATGATGTAAAGGGTTTGTATATCAAGGATCCGATAATAAAACCTTATGTTTGATTTGTTGTAAGTAATAATGGAAATGTACTCTTCCTTTTCACAACAGATACTATGCAAAAAATGCGTCTAAGTATTAAAAATTAATAATGCCTCATAATTTGTACAAACACACTTGTATTTTTTCATTCGTACAAAGAAAAAAAATGGCAGTCATGCAGTGTCAATTTTAATTTTTTTTTCTTCATGTTTTACTTGCAAACGTGTTTATTTTAAAGGCAAATAAGTATGATACTCTGCCAGTTAATTTTCGACGCACGGCACTTCGAGATCACACTTTTTGGTTTGTGATTACGGAGCTTCCAAATGATTTGACTGACCTAACGAATGCTTCAAGCGTGCTTGACAATGTATGTGTGTTAAATCTCAACGTCACTTCTTCAGAAACCGTAATGGTAAGTTTTGAGCATATTTTCCCAGTAATTTAACTAAATATACATGTAGATTTCAAACACTATCTTGTTAGAGATGAGTGTTAACTATGGTGCTAACAAAAATCTGTCCAATGAAAGACCTCATCAATTCAGTTTTGATTACTAGTCAAAACAGAAAACTGGCGGGTTAGGCCGGTCAACAGGGAATGCTTAATTCTCTAAGACAGCTGATCCGAACTCTGTTGTTTCCCAGGGGTTCGTTTTTTTCTGCTGTTTTGTATTTTAACAGGATTTATGAGATTGATTGCTTTTCGTTATCTTCACTCTTTTTCATGGTTAGAAGGAGAATCTGCAGAAGAAGAATGAATTTTTGAAGATCTTGATACTCGGGTTCTAAAGTTTGTTGAATATATATTGATTTTAGATCTTAATGAAAGCGTTCCGTAAATTTCAAGGTTGTTACAGTCTTCAGGTTAATGAATGTCTAAATCAAATATTGATAATTGAAGCCCATCGTATACTTCAGCACTTTAATGACATCAGATCTATTGCTTATTAATCAAATTGTATAGTGTGATCAAAAACGAAGCAGTAATACAACTACGCAGTACAATTAAGGTGCGCAATGGAAATAGTGGTGTTTTTTGTGATAAAAAATACATTCTTTATCAGAATGGCGATTTTTTACTGCTTTACTATTATCGGAAAAATGTAATATGCTTAAGATCGGAGAAGATTTTTTTAATTTAGTCCTATATTCGGCATTTAAGACAATTGAACACTGAGTTTCTTTATCGTTCTAATGCCTACTGTGACAAGTGACCTCGGTTTTTAAGGTCTCATCCGAAAGACCAGTGACTTTCACTACTAGTGCCGGGCGCTCGGTGAAGGAACAGTCACTATCTATGTATGAGGCGGCAAGGCGAACGAGAATCGAACCTTGGCCGCCCGGTCATGAAGCAAGTGCCCTACCGCTAGGTTACTGTGATCGGTAAAAATAGTACAGTTTAGTGGAAGAAGCTTTGCAATGATATTTTTATTCCTCAAAATTTCACAATTAATTCTCTGCCCCAGAAAATTTATGTTTACAAACACAGTGTAATCCTAGCAATTCAGAGTATTTCAATGTTTTGATGAGAAGAAAAAGATAAAACAATCAACCACTTTTTTGAACGACTTTTAGGATGCCAATGGATTCATTGATAAGCAGACAATGTTTCATCAACTCGAGAACATGACCGAGCTTGTAAAAATAACTGGTTCTACCAACGCAGTATTGGCACTAAAAGTAAGTTTTTTTTTTCATTCATTTTATTTGATAGACCTCATCGTCTTTCCAAACTTAGAAAAATAAATGTTATAGAAGAGTTTGAATAGCGCTAAGCCCAATGTATGGAGTTTCTAACACTACTTCTAGGTCATGATTTTCTTCATTTTAGAACTACAGCCAGAGTATATTTAGTCCGAAATCTTGCCGAACATATCCGGTATCAACACTGATGTGGAAGGAATATGCAGGAAACGGCACGCCAGTACTGGTTAGAGAATTTGAAAACGTTGGAGAAGTAGAAATCAATGGGAAATTGAGTTTTCATTCAAAAATTTTTCCGAACGTCGACTTTGGATTCAACATGCGAAATTTGCTTGTTACAACGACATGGGTAATGTTTTTAGTATTCTGTATGATTTCATTAAAAAAGTGTTCATATTATTTGATTTATTTGCTACGGAAGCGTATTATTGCCATTTTGACACTTTTTATTTTTTAATTTCTACACATTAATGTGTAAAATTTACACTTTAATGTGAAAAATTTACACTTCAATCTTACACTTTAATGTGTAAATTTTACACTTTAATCTGTAAAATTTACACTTTAATCTGTAAATTTTACACTTTAATCTGTAAATTTTACACTTTAATCTGTAAAATTTACACTTTATTCTGTAAAATTTACACTTTAATCTGTAAATTTTACACTTTAATCTGTAAAGTTTACACAATAATCTGTAAAATTTACACTTTAATGTGTAAAATCTATTATCATGATGTAAAATATAACAGTTAAAATTACGGTCATTTTAGAACGTAACAATAAAGGAAACATCATTGAATCAAAGGATATTAATTTCTATGCTGTTCCAAAATTAATATAAACTCATATACTTTAATTATTTATGCATGTTTATACTTTAATAATTAATATTTTAATTGTTTATTTAAAAATTCTCAATTTAATAAGTAATTCAATTGTGCCCGTAATACATGTAGAATGTAATTTGATTAATACTATCAATAATTGAACTTCTGAGCGCATCAAATGAATTTGCGTTTAATGATATCAATATTATATTTATTGAGAAGATATAAATGTGTTTGATTTGCTCTTCACATCCACTAAATTCATAATTCTCTTAAATATTCTATGAAAGTTTCATATTAGTCATACATTAAGATGAATGAAGTTGCAAAATTGATTATGTAAATTAGACAGATAAAAAGTGTAAATTTTACAGACTAAAGTGTAAAATTTACACATTAAAGTGTAAAATTTACAGATTAAACTGTACATTTTACAGATTAAAGTGTAAATTTTACACATTAAAGTGTAAAATTTACACATTAAAGTGTAAAATTAACAGATTAATGTGTAAAATTTACAGATCAAAGTGTAAATTTTACACATTAAAGTGTAAATTTTACACATTTAACTGTAAAATTTACAGATTAAAATGTGGAAAATGAAAAATAAAAAAGTGTCCAAGTGGCACTAATACGCTTCCGTAAATTGCCTACGTGTTTCAATAGACGTTCCAGATCCGCATTTGGGATCCCGCAGGTGCGCATCCCAAATACAAATATTGTTTTATATATTTCTTTCGCTAATAACGGAGAAACTAAAAGGTATATAGTTTACGTACAGAAGATTCCAATAGCAGAATTTGTTTAAGATCACAATAGCAAAAATTTACCTATATCATCTGATTCAAGCAAAATAAAAAAAAAATCACAACAGTATTGTTATGCTAAAATATCATTTAAATCATCTTTTTACTCTATAGTGGCCGCCATTTACAGAAAGAATCCAAAAAGAAGGCAAAACCGTGGACTATGTAGGTTTTTGTGCTGATTTGTTAGATGAACTTGCCAATGAATTAAATTTTACGTATGTATATTATTCATTTTTATGCATATGTCACAAAGATTTTCTGGAAAATTATGCTTATAGTAATCTATCATTCATTGTTTACTTTTGAGGCTTGCTCATTTATCGGACGTTTATCTAATATAGATAATACCAATAAAATAAAGATTCTGCACCATTTTATTAAGAGAAAGAAGTAGATGGCGTAAAGAAAGCACAAATCTTCGTAAAACTGCATTTTCTTTGTATTATATTTAGATTACATCGGATCAAAAAATTAAGTATAAAAAACCCGAAAAATTCGATTGATTGAATCTACTGACCTGTTGTAGAGTCAAGTACAATTGTTTTTGTACAAAAACTGGAAACATGATTTCAATATAGAAACAATTTCCTATTTTAAATACTTACGTGAAATATATGGAGATAACGATCAGTATTCAAGCTCAGAAGTCTATTCAAACAATACAAATTAGGAGCAGAGCAAACACAGACCTCTAAAACATCAGAGGTGGGATCATGGAGGAGTCAGCATCCCCTGCCGACGGCCACATCCTCCTTGTGCTCCTTGTCATAATCTAGAAATAACGGGAAAATGTAAGAATTCTCCCGCAGATGTAACTGTCATTTCTTCTTTGCTCCATAGTAGATCTCTCATTTAAAATCATTTTCAAATGTTTTGATTTTTTTGCGGACAAACGAACACCGGAAAAGACAAACAGGCAGAACTTTGTTTTCAAAAAGACAGGTGAATGTAAAAAAAAATTGATCGTCATTCAGCTTAATTTTTACTTTTGACATGCATGCATTCAGTACATGTAAATGTCGATAATCATAAATGTTCTGTTTTTAGAGATGTTAACTTGTCAAAAGAACCCCTTTTCCATCTTGACGAGTATATTTAATTACCGGGGTATCAGATTTATAGTAACAGAAATCAATTTAAAGGAGAGTTGAAAATATGCAATATTTTTACCGAGTGCCATCATTAAATAGTGATAAGTATACATGTATACGTAAACAGTGAAAATTAAGACAACAATTGTGCAATCCATTTCAGTGTGAATTCCGATCATGTTCTTTTCTCCATTCCCATTTGCGTGATCGGGAGGTCGTGAGTTCGAATCTCGGCGCGACAGACCTAAGTCGATAAAAAATAGGTAGCAACTGTTCCTTCGCCATGCGCTCGGCACTTTGAAGTGAAAGTTGCGGGTCCTTCGGATGAGACCTTAAAAACCGAGGCCCCGTGTCACGGCAGGCGTTGGCACGATAAAGATCCCTCACTGCTCAAAGGCCCTGAGTGCCGAGTAAAGGTCAAAATTTGAAGCCCTTCACCGGTATATGGTGACGTCTCTATATGAGTGAAAAATTCTCGAATGGGACGTAAAACAATATACAATCAATCAATCATTCCCATTTGACTACATGTATTTCCTATTCTCCATGTGTGTTACTCTATTCCAACACTTTGTCTATTCCAATACATTTGTCTCCCATGCATTTTGAACTAGACAGGTTTCTCTGTATATACTGTTTACATTCAGGTACACCTACACTGAACCTCCAGATAACGAATTCGGACGAATCTATCCGAACAGAACGTGGAGTGGAATGATTGGTCAGCTTGAAAGAAGAGTAAGTCAAAAAAGGATCAATACCCGTACAAGTGTAATTAAAAGTACGAGTATTCCTTTTATAGGAATGATCGGCATAGGATGATAAAGCCAGCATTATGAAATTCTTGGAATAAGTTTTTAGACATTTCTTTTCATTTTAATTGACTTGGAAAAATATTTTTTCAAAGAGTATAGATCTTTATATATTTAATTTCACATTATTTCTCAAATGAGTATGGCGTATAAAGAATAGAGCTATAAAAATGCTTTTCTTTACGTACCAAATTTAAATTGAAGAACAAACATATTTTAGCTGGTCAATATTGTTATATAGAGTAGTACATTGTATGACAGCTTTATGTCTTGCCTTTAAAAAATATTTTGTAACTGGAAAGACGTAATGTTGACATTTTTGTGGAATGGGATGAGAGACATGAAATCAAATGGGCTTAACCTTTGTAGAGAAAAATAACTCTTCGGATAAATTAACTATCAAACTTAATTATAAAATTGCAAGGAAATAGACTTTAGTCAATTTTGTAAAATTTTCTTATGAACAGGATAAGTAGTTATGTTCAGAAATATTCCTAGCAAAGTCAGGGCGAAGAAAATAGCTTAAACAACCTTGTACATAATTTGCAGAACGAATGTTTCCCGCTATACTCCAAACGAATTGTGAGCCGTTTGCAAAAAACAATCGATATATTCTATAATTAGAGATAGCGTCATGATTAAATGTTATGTGATAGCTATGAGATGTGATGTGTCAATCCCTTTTTTTTTAAATATTCAATACGGTAAAATTCAAAATTCATCTGTCGCCCGCGTTTCGCAGTGGATAGAGCGTTCGTTCTAGAGTCGCGGAGTAAGGAGTTGATCCTTACGTCGCGGGTTCGAATCCCACTGTGAGACGTTGAGACCGGTCCTTCGGATGAGACCATATAAACCGAGGTCCCGTGTCGCAGTAGATGCTGGCACGAAAAAGATCCCTCACTTCTCAATGGCCGTGAGTGCCGAGTATGGGTCAAAATTTGTAGCTCTCCACCGGCAAGTGGTAACGTCTCCATATGAGTGAAAAATTCTCGAGAGGGACGTTAAACAGTAAACAAACAAGCCAGCAAATCAAAATACATCTAAACTGAAATCGATGAGATTTGAAACTTCTTTAAAATGCTGAAAATGCTGAAAGTCCACAATGCCATAAATAGACAGAATAGGATAAGTCGCACTTTCTTAATTCGATTTGACTTGAATATTTTTGTTGCTATCCGAAACACTAATGAACGAATAAACTTCACCCCTTAGGGGACGTGTACTTCCAAATGAAATTCTTACTCAAGTAAAGAAAAATATAAATTTATTCACCATGTAACTGTATAAACGTTTGCGTTTCAAGGTAAATCCACAGAAATAATCCCCATTTGTACTTAACATGTTATGTCAGATTTAGATGATGCTGTCAGTGCATAGTAAAAAAGTAATTTGTGCAAGTAGTTATTTGTACGTAGATACTTAAATTTACCGGATGCCTCATATGGAATCAACTGTGATTGGCCGAAGCCGACCACAAAAACAATTATGTAACTGTGTAGGCGATGCATGGTTAAGGTACAACTCATCTTAAGTAGTACTACTTCATTTATTTACAGTGCTTTGACCTTGGACAGATAACACACAGATATATGATAAAGCATACAATTGATAACAACTTGTATCATTTTTTTTTTTGAAATAACGTGTATGTAGAAAAATAAAGATCTTTAAAATATCTTAGTGTCTTACACAATGAACAATGTAATAATCACCATGACAGTCAGTATTGTTCCGTTCAATTGTCGTTTTGTCGACAATTTCTTAATCAAAATAAATAAATTCGAAATTCTTCTATAAATAACTATTTTAAATTAAAGTTTTAAAGTCACAGGTTTAATCATAGCACATGTAAATCCAAGTTGTGGCCAAGATTGCATTATAGTAAATTGAAGTTTTTAAAGTGAAAAAGGTAGTTATTCAATGTTTTCAAAGTTATCTCCATTATTAACTACAGATTTCGTAATATCAGAGTATTTTGTTGTAGTTAATTTTAGTTTGCCATGGTTAGCTCTTATTAACTATAGTATTTTTGATAAGATTGTACGTGAACGCAATATGCTATTTTTCATCTCCTGTTTACTGCCTGTTTAAAGACCAAGGACAAGGCTCTTAAAAAATCGAGTCAACCATTGTCATGCAATGCATGTTAATCAGATATTCTATATCCAACCTAAAGCTTCATGTTTAATTTACTATCTGGGTGCAAAAGATCATAAAACGGGCACATTCAAATTTTGGAGTCCTTTTGTCAGAGATAAAGGTCAGGATTATTCATGTTATCATGCATTTGGTGATGAACTTCCTAATATAATTTTGTATAGAATTTATATATTTATTAAATAGTGTAGTTAGAACAAAATATCTATTGATTAGTGTCTCTTAAACAAAGGTCAAAACAAATGGTCAAATGTCAGGACTAATGATTAGTTTATTACATGTCAAAGGACTCATGATAAATTTATACATGTCAAAGGTCGAGACTAATGATAAGTTCATTACATGTCAAAGGTCAGGACTAATGATAAGTTTATTACATGTCAAAGGTCAGGACTAATGATAACTTTATTACATGTGAAAGGTCGGGACTGATGATAACTTTATTACATGTCAAAGGTCAGGACTAATTACAAGTTTATTAAATGTCAAAGGTCAGGACTAATGATAAGTTTATTACATGTCAAAGGTCAGGACTAATGATAAGTTTATTACATTTAAAGGTCGGGACTAATGATAAGTTTATTACATGTCAAAGGTCAGTACTAATGATAAATTATTACTTGTCAAAGGTCGGGACTAATGATCTGTTTATTACATGTCTATGCAATGATTCGATATAATTTTTTAACCCTTAGCATAAATGTGTTTTAAATTGAATATTCAGAGTTCATATTCACTACACAATAAAATAGTTTTGAAAGCAACTGAATGAAAAAAAAAAAACCAAAAAAATATTGCTTAAAGCACAGTTCTGAGCACTTTTACAATTTTTTAATTTTTTGAATTAGTTCTCTTGTTTTCACATTTTCAAGTGATTGTAATTTAGAAACAAAAACTCTTCCATTAGAATTAAAGTACACAAAATATGTTATTTTATAGTTGCCGAAACCATGAAAAGTTATTAATCAAGATATTGTTTAAAAAATACAAAAATGTTTCCATATATTTTACACAAGTTCTCAGTCATCTTTCTTGAAAAATTGCTTTTTACTCTCACGTTTTTAATATTTTTAGGAGGTAGATTTAATGGTTGCAGGAGCATCTATACAAGGTTCTAGGGAGAATGTTATGGATTTCACACATCCGTTTTATTACGACACAACCACGATTTTGATCAAACGACCAGATCCAGATGAAAACAAGATGTTTACTTTGGCAAAGCCTTTTAAAATAGAAGTAATTATATGCATATTCTTTGTACTTCCGGTGTCTGCATTCTTATTGTTTATTATTGAGAAGTTATCGCCGTATTACAAGATTCATGGTCCGGAGGGAAGGCAAAACTACCAGACCTCTTTTTGGTACATGTTTGGAGCTCTACTAACTCAAGGTTTGTTGGAATCCAATTCTTCAGATATATGTCATGAACAAGTATAATTTTTAAAGAAGTAAAAAAGAATGAAAATTTTAATACGTACTGGTATTAAGATACATTTAGTTGTCAATACAACAAACAGTTTCATTTTAAGGGTACTCAACGCAAACAAAAATTTGATGCCTGGAATGATATATATATTTTTGACTGATTTTGATTTGAAATGACGTAAATAACAAATCCCTAAAATATAAAGACATCGTAGGTTTTCTTTGGTACATGTACTTAGATACTAGACTTTGTGTCGCTCTCTATATAATTCTATACAAAATTTTGCACAACTTTTTCATCTTATGACAAAATCTTATAAAATTCCTGGTAATCATATTAATCAGGTTACCAATTTAAATATAAATCTATGAGAAATATGGCTGATTTCTGAAAAAAAAAGTTTGTTTGTGTTATTTATCCTTAATATAACATACACAGGAGGAGAGAGCCTGCCTAATTCACAGAGTGGTCGGACAATGATTACTTTTTTCTGGTTATTTTCCATCATCATGGTGGCAACGTACAGTGGAAATCTAATTGCTTTCCTAACAGTCACCATAGACAAACCTCCATTTAATTCCCTAGAAGAACTGGTTGAGCAAGATGAATATAAATGGGGAATTTTATCAGGAACATATTTTGTGACATGGTTCCAGGTATTCTTTCCATTCTTGCGTTAAAATTTTTAAATCTGAGTCATACTAGCTGTACATTTTATTTAAGGTAGACATATACTAAAGCCATCATCTATATATCCTCCATTCATTAGGTTTTCAATACAATTTTGCATTTTGTGCAATTAAAAAAAGATAAATTATACACTCAAAGATTGTTAAAATACAAAACTCTTGATATGGACAAGTAGCATTTTGAATGAACTGATATGTGTGATGAAATCTAAGGAAAAGAAACAGTAATCGAGCTCGGAAGTCCATGGGACTTTATGGATAGGGAGTAGAGCAAACAGGGACCTTTAAAATATCAGAGGTGGGTTACGGTGTCATGGATGAATAAACATCCCCTGTCGACAAGTCACACTCGCCGTGTGTTTCTTGTCATGATTTGGCAAACGGAAAAATCCGTAGAAAAATTCAGTGTTAAAATAATTGCCTAACAATTTGAATGAAAAATGACAGTCATTCGACTTAACGATTGATTGCATTTGTTAAAATTCCCATCATCCTTTTTACACATAGGCATTACAATAATAGCTCGTCAAGTTTTATAGTAAAAGCAAAGTCCAATTAGTCCTTTCACCATGACTGCAGTACTGTTCTTTCGCAGGACAAATTAATTAAGTTTGATGAAGTTTTAGTTTGCAGATAACAAAATGCCGTTTATGAACAATTGCTATACAGTCATATTAACCACACTTTATGAATTTGCCATACAAAGGAACAAACCGCAGTCATCGCGAGTCTTTTATGCAAGGATACCCACCTTCCTCCAATTTGGTATCAGCTCTTTTAACTTTAATATTTCTTTTGTCCTTAAATTGCAATTTTGGTCTAGAATGATGTTGAGGACAAAATTTATATTTGAATTTAAAATTACATCTCTTGTCACAGAGACAATACAAGATGCAAGACTTGTATATTTACCTTACCTATATTTTTTGTAACCCACCCATCCCCCTACTTGAAAAACCGGGTTGTAAAGTGATGGAGGGCCCGTCCGTCCATGGTCAATCCGTTACGCTTTGGGTTCCCCTCTCTTTTCCGCAACTCCACCTATTACACTGAATAAAATTTAATAAGACTTTCACATACGCAGGTGAGTTAAGGCTAGGTATAGTCATTTCTATGCAAATAATCTAATTAAAATGTCTAAGGACTATATTTATTATACAGAGAAAGTTAAAACATACTTGGTAGCCACGACATGAGATAGCCAGTACACATTATGACGTCATACTATAACGTCATTGTTCTTTACTACACAAGATTATAATGGATATCAACAAAAATGCTTCGGCGCAAGGACATGCTCTATTTTATTTAACTGAAACAAGGTATATTTAGAATCAAAATATTCCAAAGTTTTCTGGTATTGCTGCTCAAATACCAACAGCTTGTTGTATAATTTCTATTTGTAAAGTTTAAGTTGAATATGGGTATAAATATACAGTCCGGTATAATTTTCCTCAATTCCGATCAAATGAGAAAATGCCTAGGATTTGTGTAGCAGTTAAATTAATCTATAGAATATTTTTCTTAGCATTATACAATTTTTATGTAAAAATAAATAGGGTAATCCCTTGCGCCAAAGCTGTTTTGTTGATGTGTTTTATTACCTCCAGTAGGTAAGATCAGTGACGTCATTATATGACGTCATAATGTGTACTGGCTATAACATATCGTGGGTACTAAGTTTGCATAGGAAAATAAATCAACACTTTCTTTGAATAATAAATATACCTTTTATGATTTTTCACTAGCTCATTTGCATAGAAACGCCTATACCTAGCCTTACCTCACATGTATAATCTTTATAACATAATGTCATTGTTACCTCCTAGTTTTGATTAGACACACATCTGGGTTTTCCCACAGCAAAACATGAACACTGTCATTTACTCTTATAATATTGGAGATATCCATCTCTTACCCGCAACTCCTCTTATATCACTGTATAAAATTTAATGAGAATTTCACAATTTTTTTAATAATGTCATTGTGCAAATGTCATTGTGCAACTCAAATTTTACGTTTTGATCAGACACATATTAAAGGTTTTCCAATACATAGCAATACTTGGACACTGCCGTTTTTACTGTAATGTTGGTGTAACAATCTCTTATCCACAACCTCTTCTGTATCACGGAATAAAATTTAATTAGGCTTTTGCAGAAACTTTATTACGTAGTGTCATTGTGGCCCTAGTCTCCTGTTTACTTTAGATCAGACACATATTTGTTTTTTTACCATAGCAAACATGAATTTTGTCATAATAATCATATGGGAGCGGGGTTATCTCTTTGTGAGGTCATTGCTCACAGTTCCTCTAGTTAATGAAATATATGGAGATAACGAACAGTATTCAAGCTCAAAAGTCCATTAAACAATACAAAATAGGAGCAGAGCAAACACGGACCTCCAAACATCAGAGGTGGGATCAGGTGCCATGAAGGAGTGAGCATCCCCTGCCGACCGGTCACATCCGCCGTGTGCTCTTGTCATGATCGGGAAATAACGGAAAAATCCGTCGACAATTCAGTGTGTAAGTAATGGCCTAACAATTAGTATGAAAAACGTCAGTCAGCATTTGACTCAATGATAAATTGTATTTGCTGACAAGGTCATTGTATCGACCATAGAACTTACGAAATGATGACTTTAAACGAGACAGCTGATATTCTTGTTTCATCAACTTATTTGTCAATAATTTACCTCGTTTTAGAAATTGTACATACGTAGAGCATGCTCTTGCGTATCGAATCAACTGAGAGATATAAACTTGTTTAAAGAACTTCAGCAAGGGCTTTATTTCGAGTTAAATTCAGTCTTAAGTAAATTTCAAATGTAGTACATGTATAATGGAATACACTTTGATTGCAAATTAAAATCCTATATATATCCGATAAGGTTAAATTCTCACTTTTTAGCCAAAAAAATTCTTAAAAAGTGGGAGCAAATGCAAATATCAAATTTGCAGATAATATGAGATGGACCAACGAGAAAGAAAAAATTCTACATTTTACATGACTTTGAATGCAAGACAATACATCCATCTTGACAAGGTTACCACGGCAAATTGTTTGCAAGATGTCTAAAATTTTCTATTCAATTCTGCTAACATTTGAGGAAGGAGAAACTGATTCTAAACATGAGTAAATTAAAATGAGTCTAAAACTGATTACTGTAGATTCCTTATTTTACGTGAGTACTTAATATCGCGAAATAGCCCAAGGGCGTCAAATCGCGAGAACAATAATTCGCGAATGGGTCATTTATCTAGAGGATTTTCATACATTAAAGCACCATAAAAAATAAAAGCGAGTAATTTTATTTCGCGAGTGGTGCTTCTCGCGTACTTACGCGATAATTTATTCCTCGCGTACATATAGGAATCTACAGTATGGATTGAGCAGGGTTTGTCTGTGAACCTTTATCAGGGTGAATGGAGAATGCTGTGTTGCCAAAATCATTTCGAAAAGTTGAAAGTAATTATTAATCATTTGCAAATGAATTTTTCTACATGCAAATGTCTCATGAAATTGAATAAATTCTCATATTAGTTTGTATTTCTTAACATTTTTTAAATATGTTACGTTTATATTTGTTGTAGGAAACTCCTTTTGAAATTCTTCAAAAGGTATGGACTGGGATTAAAACATTCAATGAAACAGATCCAGATGTTTTACATCCTGATCCGAACGTTCATATTAATAAAATGTACAAAGAAAAGTATGTTTACATTGGTGATAAATCCTATATGGAGGTACGGAAGGCAAATAGATGTGAACTCGTGACGGCGACTGAAGAAATTCCGAATATGTCATACGGAGTTGGTCTTCCTAACAATTCTTTGTACACCAAAATGTTTTCTGATAAGTAAGAAATTAAGTACTTCTGAATGAATAAATGAATTTGAAAAGAATGTTATAACAAACAGTTGTATTTAAATAGAAGCGAAAATATTTTTAAAAATACATAATATAAAATTCTTTCAAAGAACACCTTCTTCAATATATACAGTAGTACAAATATATCCTAATACTTTTATTTTTTACGTTTCATACAATATTGCATATTCTTCTATTTAAACAGGATACTTTCCCTGCAAGAGGGTGGAATATTACAGACTTTCGAACAAAAACACTGGCCGTTGTATTTAAATAGAAGCGAAAATATTTTAAAAAATACATAATATAAAATTCTTTCAAAGAACACCTTCTTCAATATATACCGGTACAGTAGTACAAATATATCCTAATACTTTTATTTTTTACGTTTCATACAATATTGCATATTCTTCTATTTAAACAGGATACTTTCCCTGCAAGAGGGTGGAATATTACAGACTTTCAAACAAAAACACTGGCCCCGTGAAGAATTCTGTCATGGTTCTTTGGTGGCAGAAGCAAAAGAAATACGATTAATAGATGTTCAGGCAGCTTTTATCGTAGTTGGTGCTGGGCTAGCTCTCGGGACTATAGTGTTATTTTTGGAAAAAATTGTTAAACATTTATCACATAAATTTTGTGTGAAAAAAGACCACAATCCTTGTACGCATATAAGGACTGTTCCAACAATGGAGTTAGAACTGGTTGGACCTGATTTAAATGGAATATCTAGTGGAGTATATACAATTGATGAATGTGAGATAATTCCACATATTAATAATGGAGTGCATCAGACACACAGCTCAGATGGATACGGATAAGAAAATTAATTTGAAGTGCATAGTTAAATTTAATTTTTTTATTTCTGATTACGAAGAAAACTTTCTTGTTACCTAAATTATGAAAATATGTTTATGAAAACATTGCATAGTTAATCAACTTTAAAAAAATATATATATCTTAAAGTCAAATATTGCCATCAATATTTTCAATAACAGTTTATGTTAATTATAAGCATCCAAATTAACATAAAATGATTTTGATAAAAAGTGACGTTTCTCAGACAATTGTGTACTTTTGCTGTTGATCAAATATGATTAGATTAAATTATACGTATTAATACTGGATCAGGAGACTGCTTCCAAATTTTTCAATTATTAACTATTCTGTCTTGTCAGAAAATAAAGAGGCGCCAAAACATCAACACATGGTTTACGGCGGAATACACAAGGACAACATAACATACAAACGAACGTGATAGCACAAAGACAATTCCGGAATACTACATTCCTACTCCCTTAAGTTCATTTATGAAGATAAAATTTACTATATACTTGACTCAAGGAAAAAAAAACAGCTTAATACTGATCAATATTTAAATAATTTTCAAAATTCTAGCACATACTACATTTACACAGTTTGTTTAGCTTCAACCTAAATCATTCATAATGCATGTGATTTTTCACAAGATATGAATAGTTAAGACGATGACAAAGAATCGTTCCCCATAACCTACGCACAGCTTGTTTAAGGGTTACGTAGTCGTCCAGATATGCAGGTTTTTTAAGAAATGAGACGATCAATACGAGGGCTGTCTTCTGAGTTATTTCTCTACATATCCACTGTCCACTTGGAAAGCTTTTCGCAATAACTGCATCTCCTTTCATGAATGCTCGTCCTCTCGCATGTAAATCGTGATATTGCTTGAATTTTCTCTGACGGGTTCCTACTCGTTCTCGAATCTCTGGCTTGACGAATTCTAGCTTTGTCTGCAAATCCAGATTCATGAGTAATTCTGCTGGGGCAACACCTGACGTGGTCTGTGGCCTGGTTCGGTAGTTTGACAAAAACCTTTGCAATTTGGTCATCAGCGATCCAGAGCCTTTTTCCATTCTCTTCATCTCTTCCTTAAAAATTTTAATTGCAAGATCGGCCAAAGCATTGGAAGTTGGTTGGTGCGGTGAGGTCTTCACGTGATGAAAACCATTCTCTAATGTAAAAATGGCAAATTCGTGACTTGTGAAACAGGTCCCATTTTCTCCGACAAGTACATCAGGAATTCCATGCGTTGCAAATGCCTGTCTAAATTTTTTTTCAATTGTCAGCTCAGATGTAGAAGTAGATATTTTGTAGACCTAAATCCACTTGCTCTACACATCGATGATGGTCAAAAACATGGATCCCATAAAGGGTTCTGCATGATCTGCTTGTATTCTAAACCATGGAAGATCTGGCCATTCCCAGGGGTGTAACGGTGCCACTGCTGGCGAAGAGCTTTGCATCTGGCAATCTTCATATCTGAATACTTTCCTCTTAATGTCTTCATCTAGTCCCGGCCACCATAAGAAGCTCCTAGCTAGACTTTTCATTCGGATTATTCTAGGATGTCCCTCGTGTAATAGATCCAATAATTTTTCTCTTCTTAGTTCTGTAATCACCACAAAGAATACATTCTACATGTGTACTGAGTTCGTTTCGTCTGCTGAAGTAAAGATGAAATTTCTCATCACTTTTCTACTCTTTCCATCCATTCTGTTTGAAATAAATCACATGACAAAGGTGTGGATCCAACTGTGTCCATTTCTCACATTCTTCAGCGTGTACAGGTGTACCATTTAAGTGTTCGATGAGTAAAATGGTCTCACCTGCGAAGGGTACATCGACACACTCCTCGAGTGGTAGATGTCACATGCAGTCTAAAAATACCATTCTTCTTACCCTTCTTGTACAATATTTCATATTCATATCCTGCAAGGATTAACACCCATATCTGAATTCGAGCTGCGGTCATTGTTGTGAAAGCAGTTTAGAATAGTCCCTCTCGTGGTTTATGGTCTGTATATATGACAAATTTATGACCATAGAGATCGAGGTACTTTGGAAGTTTTTAATCTCCGAAAATAATTGCGAGTCCCTCTCTTTTCTAACTGAGAGTAGTTCTTTCAGCTAGAGCAAGTGTTCTTGACACATAAGCTCCTTGGTTTCTCCCATTCATCTGTGAAGTGTGACAACACATCTCCCAGTCAGTTCGTGAGGCATGACAGGACCTGACAAGCTTCTTGGTTGAATTAAAATAGACTAGTAGTGATGAAGATCTCAAAAGGTTTTCTGCCTCTTGCATAGTCTTTAACAGTTTAGAACCCTAAGATCATGGTACACCTAAAAGTTCATGTAATGGTGCTAGCACAGTTGACAAATTTTGTACGTAGCAACGTAGTTAAGCATTCCAAGGAAGGCATGCAGTTCTTCGGTGTTACTAGGTTCCGGTAAGTTCTTAATAGCTTACACTTTGTCTTCAGTTGACTGTCTTCCATGCTTGTTTATGCGGCGATGCCCAAGTTACGTAACTTCATCGGCCATGAACACACCCTTTTCTTTTTTCATTCGAACTCCAGTTGTTTCCAACTTCTCTAACACTTGTTCAAGATTCTGTAAATGCTCAGAACAGTTTTTCTCTGTCAAGAGCTGGTATGTCATTTAAGCGAACAATAATACTGGATATGCCTTGAAGCAAATTCTCAATAGTTTTCTGAAATATACCAGGAGTAGACGAGATTCCAAATGGTAGACGATTGTACGGAAAAGTCCTTTATGAGTGTTGATAGTGGTATATTTCTTGGAATCTTCATCTAACTCTAATTGCTGATAGGACTGGATCAGGTCGAGCTTGGAATACCGTTTTTTCCACCTCCTAATATAGCAAATATACTTGTCAAAATTTCTAAGTCCCCACTTTTTTTATTTAAAAAAAATTTTAAAACGATTACATCAATTTGAAGTGGCTTAAAATTCTGTCTACAATTTACAATGCTAACCTGACAAGGCCAAAAAATTGCAATAGAATGTGTGATTACTCTACGGTGACTTTTTTGTTGAAAAGCATGAAGTACGAGTTCCATTTGTTTTCCGGGTGAATTTTTCAATTTTTTTCCGTGTGTTTTCTATGTTTAGTTGTTTACGAAAAAGAAATTGAGTTAAATGCGGCGTATGTCCGCACAAGAATGCACAAGAGAAATTTACATGCTCCAAGCTGGTCGTAGTTTACGATAGGTTTGTTTACTTTCACTATATGTATTTATTTTGTTTACAACCTTTGAGAATACCGTCCGAAAGATCAACAGAGCTTCCGTTAATTCCTTACATTTATTAGATTTTGAACAGAAACCAAAAAAAAATCATCCTAGGGTTTATCTGGAAATTCACTGGAATCGGAACCGGAAGTGCAGACCTACTTCGATGGCCAAGACGTAGTGTAATAACACATCAACAGGACTGCTATGAGAATTACTCACCATTGTGGAAGGAACCTAACTGCATTTGCAACTGCACAACACACATTGAAAATTAATGGAAGTCTCTTCAGTGACCAAACTGTACGGAACATTTGATTGATTGATTGTATGTTGCTTTACGTCCCATTCGAGAATTTTTTCACTCATATAGAGACGTCACCATATACCGGTAAAGGGCTTCAAATTTTGATCTTTACTCGGCACTCAGGGCCTTTGAGCAGTGAGGGATCTTTATCGTGCCAACACCTGCCGTGACACGGGGCCTCGGTTTTTAAGGTCTCATCCGAAGGACTTTCACTTCAAAGTGCCGAGCGCATGGCGAAGGAACAGTTGCTACCCCTTTTTTTTATCGGCTTAGGTCAGTCGCGGCTGAGATTCGAACTCACGACCTCCCGATCACGGAGCGAGCGCTTTGTACGGAACAAACTGGAGGAGTGGAGTACGTGTGAGGAGACGTATGTCCTGTACATGTACGCTTGATATTGTGGACAAGGCACAAACAATTTCGGTTAGCCCCTTGTCATCAACACCTCAAGCTTAAAGAACATGTATGGGACAAGACAGACCAGAGAGTGAGACAACTGTTCCAGCTGCAGAATCTAGCGGAACTATAGGGAAACCTAGTCAACACATGGAAAAACATGGAGTAACCTTAAATAAAGATTTTTTCTTCGATATTTTGAACTTTTGAGGAGCAGATCCCGTGTCAACCGGTCACACCCGCCATGAGCCCTATACATTGATCTGATATTATGTGTACTCCGTACTCAAATTATATTTAAAAGCAACGGCTTTACAATTGGTATGAAATAAATCAGTCAAAACACGACCCAATGAAAAGTTGTATTTACAAACAAGGCCATTATACCGACCGTAAAATTTGAGAAAAACTTACTTTAAGCGGGATTGTTGAAATCCTTGTAAGTTTAACTTCCTTGTCATTAACTCGCGCGGTTTAAAAATTGATTGTACTCAGAGCATACTCTTTCATATCGAATCAGTTGGGAGACATGAACACCTTATGCAGGTGTTGTTGGACTATTACTGTTTAAATAAGGGAAGTTGACCATGGAAAAGCTGAGGTTATTCCGTTTGTCATACAGTTTACTTTTAAGTTGGCCATTATATAATTATCTATAGTCAGTAAAACATCCAAATATGAATCAGCAAACACTGCAGTGTCTTTTATTTGGGGATCAATGAGTCGACATATGAATGAAAGTAACTATTGTTAGCTGATAAAATGTCGTCGATATGTCTAAATCTTGAGTTGAAAACCAGGGCAAGAGTTTCCTTCTCATGTAGAAGCTTTTTAATAAATTCTGTTTCATGGAATATAAAAAAAAAAAAAACAGGTCGGCTAATAAAGGATCGGAATTAGTGTCCATCAGATTGTTGGAATAACTAGCCCCAGTATCATGAAACACCTTAAGCTTAATTTAAAATCTTTATGTCGTACTAAAATGTTGTAGAAGTCAAGCAGCGTAAAATTAAAATATTTTACTATATACTGCTTTACAAAAGTGTTTTACTGCAAATTTAGAGATTAATTCAATAATTAATAAACAAATAACACACGTTTGGCTTAAGTCTAAGTCTTCATGATTCTGGCTCCAGGTCTCCAAAGACTACAAAGATATTTTCAATGACGAACCCCAAAATCTTTTAAATATCAACTTCAGAGTACTCGAACTTGTACGTAGAATTAGAATGATTTTTGCAAAGTAATTCTGTCAATGACCAATCACAATGACCAATCACAATGACCAATCTCAATGACCAATCTCAATGACCAATCACAATGACCAATCACAATGACCAATCTCAATGACCAATCACAATGACCAATCACAATGACCAATCACAATGACCAATCTCAATGACCAATCTCAATGACCAATCACAATGACCAATCTCAATGTCCAATCTCAATGACCAATCACAATGACCAATCTCAATGACCAATCTCAATGACCAATCACAATGACCAATCTCAATGACCAATCTCAATGACCAATCACAATGACCAATCTCAATAACCAATCTCAAGGAATGAAAATTTACGAGTTCCATTTTCATTAAGGAAGCAGTTTGTCAAAAACCCTGCTCTAATTAATTCATCGTTAGGAATGATTGTAAAAAGCGTAGAAAAGTTATATATGTTTTGATGCTATTGATGTTTGAAAAGTTTTGAGATTTTTAATTTTTCATACGTTCTTTGGAGTTTTTAGAATCCACGTTTGATTTTCACTACTTCTTGAATATGTTGTAGCATAATACTCTGAAGTTTCTCTTTACGGCAGTTTATATTTTGTTGAGGGGTTAGGATAGGGGCTTGTTTGTATAAATGAAAGCATACTGTAAATATGTAATAAAATGATGCCAAATATCGAATTAAAACTTGAAGAACATTATATCGACATTGATCTCTGAAATCTCAATATGTCTACAAATAAAACTATACCATGAATACTTACGAAAAAGTGAAATATTTACGAAAACGTGATGTGCAATATTAAGTTAAAACTTGACTTAAAAATATGTTTTAAACATTGTTTAGAAATTTTTAGTAAGAGAATGACGATTTAAGTGATTAAATCTTTAATATTTCTCCATTTATTTTTAAAAATATTGTCATCATAACAACCTAAGGATTGCCTAGAAAAACTTAAGACAATGATTTAAACTGTTGTTGGTCTTTAATATTACTTGTATGTAATAAACACTTGCTTTTAATTTATTTAAAAAAAAAAAGAACGTGAAAGGTTTCAACAATGAGGTATAGTTGTAATCATGTGTAGAAAAAACTGACGAAGCAAGACACACATTTCTGAAAAGAGGCTTGTAATTTTCACTTTAAGATGAAACTTTTCAGAAATCACAAGCAAATAAAAGACAACCATATCACTTGCCAGGATCATATTGCAAAATGTAATCTACTGCTTTAGAACCATAGAGTGGCCGGTATCGGGTCCAGAATTCTTGAAAAGGGGGCCAATCAGGTTATGGGTCTAGGGGACATGTATATATGCAATATCTAACAACAACAAAAAAATGATTTCTTAATCTTGATATGTAAACTTAATTTTGGTCACAAAAGTGGAGCAGGTCCCCTGGCCCCCCTAAATCCGCCAGTCGCTTTTATTGAGAACTGGTGATATTCAAAGGTTTATCATTGTAGTCGATATACACATTTCTTTACCAACTTTTGGACAGTCGCTATCGAGCTCCAATTTTTGCCGTGATTATCACAAAAGCGAAGATAAATTTGCATGCCATACATGTATTAAACTACCTCCCTTTCTTTTTAAAATCATGAAGGTCTTTGAACACATTTTTCATGGTATTTGAAAGAAACAGACTATAGCAATTTCCTGTTTACTGCCAATTTTATTAATCTCACTAGTTCTACCCTATAACTTTTGTATGAGTTAACGAAGACGACATTTATTGACTTCAAATAAATTCAAATAACATTTGTGGGGGTGCCTAAATTCAAATTTAAAAAAAAATATTTATCCTTGCCTTTCTTTTTAAAAAAAAATATTGAAATTTTAAAGATATTAGAATAATTTGCTAAGAAACAATTATGTCAACAACTTTAGCGTCGAAGAATAACATTACATTTCTACGTTTACAATAGTGCACAAGGGTTAGGATATAAGATTAAAATTTAAACAATCATTCATACAACCAAACATTTTGAATCAGAAATAGATACTTTGCCTTTAATTAAACATTAAATAGTAATTAAATATACGTACATGTAGGTATTTAGATTGTGCGGAATCATTAAGTGTTCAACTCTTACAATTAACGCTTATTATAATTAAAAAGTCTGTACACTGTACAAAGTATCACTGTCCTATGATATCAAAGAATGTCTTTCTTTATAAAACAATTATTTAAATCATTTTCACAATGTGAATTCTGGAAAAAATAAATTTTCCCATTTTGACATATGCATGTATTTTAAATCTGGTATAATTTATTGAACAGATTTTGTAAAAGATCGGTTTGGAAAATTTTGATGGGGCATTTAAACATGAAACAAAAGCTAATGAAAGAACATACTACACATTGAAACTAGAGCTCAAGCAAGGACAAAGAACCACAATTGTCTGTTGTTGTAGAGGACCAGAGGATCCAATTTATTTGGTACATTGAATTTACATTTCACTCTGTATTTTATACAATTATGTGCAATGGATGGACAAAGCTTTGGGAAATGGATAATTACCATTTACTTCATATCTACTACAAGTAAGTTTAAATTGAAATTAAATTTCATTATTTTTTTTTCCCAGAAGGCGGTGATTTGTAGATTTCAATCATGTCAGTTGACCAGAGTGATAAATGTGATATTCATTGATAAACATGCAGTTCTAGTCCAAGAATCTATAGGGGTACTAGTATTTTTTTCTTCAACCAAGGATAAATGAAAATAGTATGCTTAAACTCAATAAATTTTAAGTGTATTTATATATATTCAAAACAAAATTAGGCTCCGGGGCCATAAAACTTAGTTAAGCTCACCTTTGATCTCAGTCTCCCTTTTCTACTAATTATTCCTCTGTAAAATTGAGACTGAAATAAAAAATGAGCTTGTCTACGCCTGATATTCTTGTGACTGATGACTTTAAAGACAGGTTTAATCTATATGTGATTTAATTGATTTAAAAAAGTATGTTTAGGTTTTAAATCTTGCTTATTTCTTTATAAAGTATTATGGTAGACAATTGCTCTTAATACTCAGTATTTTAAGATCAGGAGAGAACAGAATATCTTGCTCGAGGAAGGCACCATAATACATGTATTAAATGCATTTCGGCCTTCTTTTCGAGCAAACGAAATTCATATTTCTAAATAACTCAGCGCATTGCATGTACATGTATTGAAGTAAATAAAAGTTGACTTGGATGTGCTTTTAACTTGATTATACTCTGTTTAGTTTTGCAGTCTGATGGAAGGAGACCTGTTAAAGGGCACTGGGGGGAGTGGGGCCCCTGGTCTGGGTGTGCTGCCTCCTGTGGCTCCGGTATTTCCACAAGAACAGCAAAGTGGATTATGAACGGCATTACCACACAACATCTGTTTTATGATCTCATTGAATGCTCAGCCGAGGTCAATTGTCCTGGTATGTAACGATTATCATTAATTTGTACTATCGGAATAGTCAGGGTTTTTTTTTTTTTTAATTTATAGTTGTACTTTGCAGGTGATTATTTTTTTAATCTTCAACATAAAGATATTATGATTTTAAAAATTGTAAAATTCATATACCTAGTGTAATTTGACATTTTAGAACAGCTTACCTTCTAATGAAATAAGCGTTTTAAAAAGTAATATTTCTTTTAGAATGCTTCCTTTTACACCTTCCTAAGCGGATTTTTTTCAATGGTCGCAACAGTTGATCCGAATGTTAAAAAAAATTAGAGATTTTTTTTTGGTTTATACTTAGTACGTAAATTGTTGCATTATTGATCACTATGTCACATTGAAGGACCAGTCCACTTTATTATGCATAAATTATGTCTTTAACAAACCGGTTCTGATATGTTTAACCAATTGATTAACAGAAAAGTTTTTCCAAGGAATTTGGATAGTAAATAAACAGAGGACATAAATATTGCAATTTTTTTAACATCACTATAACATTTTTTCAGAGGATGGGTATTGGGGCATGTGGACTAGATGGAGCACCTGTCCAGTGATGTGCGGGGGTGGTGTTCAGAAGCGCCACCGGAAATGTGACAATCCAAAGCCTACTAATGGAGGAAGGGAATGTGGAGGGCATGACTCTGAAAAACAAGTCTGCAACAATAGAACGTGCCCAGGTACATCGCTGATGTTAGAAAACAAATCCTAAAATGATTTATATTTCTCTTTAGAATTTTTCGTCTAAAATTAAGAATATCTTTTCTTGTGAACAAAAATTCAATGGACTTCTCTTCAGGATTTTTCGTCTAAAAATTAAGAATATCTTTCCTTATGAACACAAAAATTCAATGGACTTGAAGGATGATATTCAGTCTATAAAAGTCTACATGTATATTGAACGTTCTGATCGAATAAAAAACAAAGTTTTTCATCACAGTCAATCAAAACTTTGGTGGCATATGTCTGCCCCCTACATGCAAGATAAATTATGTTAACATGCGAGAAAAGTATGTCAATATGTAAGATAATGCAAAATAGATATGTCGACATGCAAGTAACTAATCTTTTAAGAAAACCTGATATCAATATGGTTAAATTTACTTACTTACGCCAGTATCTGACATCAAACATGCAAGATAATTATGTAGACATACAACTTATCTATGTCAACATGCAAAATAATTATGTCGACATGCGAGATAATTATGTAGGCATGTCGCTAATTATTTTGATTTTCAACTTATTTAGGTCAACATGCAAGTTAAATTTTAACATGGAAAATATTTATGTCAACATGCAAGATAATAGTTGCATGTCAACATACATATCTCGCATTTCTTCATAAATACTAGTATCTCGCATATTGACATAAATAAGTCTCATGTGTACATGATTATGCTGCATCTAGGACGATATCAGATACTATCAGACACTAAGTTAATTTACAAATGTTAAAATCAGATTCTCTAAAAAGATTGGTAACGTGCATGTCAAAATAATTATCTTTCATGTAGACAAAAACATTATCTTGCATGCTGAAATACTTTTTCTCGCATGTTAAAATGATTTATCTTGCATGTAGGGGGCAAAAAATGTGCCACCATACAAACAACATAGTTTACATTTGATGATTGAGACTTTGACGTATTTGACATAATCCCAGAGGGTTGTAAATGTTTAAAGCCATCCCTCCTCCAATACGGAAATGATATTAACAACCAAGATTATTGTTGAGCAACAAAATATCTAGAAAGACAACATAGAACTCTTTTATAATTACAGGTATTCCAAAAGATTTTGATCCAATCATATGTATGACAGATGTTTTTATATGTAAAAGTGCTAAGTTCTGCATCCCACGGAAGTTTGAATGTGATGCTAAACTTGATTGTGACGACGGAAGTGACGAAATTGATTGTGTAATAGCGGTACAATCGGAAACCACAGGTAAATTTTCTTTTTCTTTTTTTTTTTTTTTAAATCATTTTTATTACTTTCATTGAAAAGATTGCTAAAATTGAATCACAAACTGAGAAGCCAGTTTAATAAAAAAAAATAATAATAAGCTAGAAGCTTCTATACCTCGCACAAATTAAAAGAATTTACGATTTGTGTATATTGTCCATCTATGACAATCTTCTTTCTTTCTTTTGCAGACAGTTCTGGATGTATGTTTTATAAATCAACAAGAGTGTTAAACTTGGTTCTCTTATTCCCAATTTTGGCACTTGTTTGGCCTTTATAACAATTTAAGACATTATTCTGTATATTCTGTTTATGATGTGCTTAATATTTTTTATACTTCTTTTTTACAATAAATGTTAAAGGTGCTTGGACACAGATTTGAAGTTAATATTTTCTCAAGTTCTCGGTATAATATCATGACTTATATGTTGCTATAGCATTTTAAACGGAAATAAAATAAAAAAAACTTATTTTATCTGGAAATAATTGAAACTACAAATTTTGGGACGCGTTTGATTGATACATCCTAGCACTTTCATAAAGCAAATTTTATCCTTGATACTTAAGTAAAGTAAATTTTTTGTTGTGTATTAATGAAATATATTCAAACTATAATCCAGAAAATTCAGAGCAGAAATGTAAGAAAGCAAAACCAACTCACCAGTATTGTCAGTCCGAGCTCAGTGATGTGTGCAGAGTTTAACAAGTTGAACACACCCGGTGAAACGTAAACATTAACGATAACAGAGCTCCTGCCCTGTTTACAAAAACAGTTTACGTTTCACGGGTGTGTTCAATTTGTTAAATTCTGCACACATCACTGAGCACGGACTGACAATACCGGTGAGTTGGTTTTGCTTTCTCACATTTCTACTCTTTATTTTCTGGATTATAGTTTAATATTTTTCATTAATGCACAACAAATTTTCTACTTTTCTTAAGTATTAAGGATAAAGTTTACTTTGTGAAAGTGCATAGATGTGTCAATCAAACGCGTCCCGAAATTTGTAGTTTTAATAATTTCCAGATAAAATAATTTTTTTTATTTTATTTCCATGTGAATTACTATAAAAACATATAAGTCATGATATTATACCGACAATTTGAGAAAATATTAACTTCAAATCTGTGTCCAAGCACCTTTAAAAACTGTTATTAAATATTTAAAAAAAATATATAACTGACCTTATCAGGGCCCCCTCCTCCACAGGGCTCATACAAAGGATGCATATTCAAAATTTTAAAATTTTGCATGCAAGAACTCTGTCTTCTTGAAAATTAAACTGTCATCTTATCCACCTTTGAACTTCTTTCAATATTTTTGTGTATGTTCAACACACACTTTGTTCCATGCATCTTTATAGTCAATCTTCTGTCATCTCCGCAACATTACTGAATGACCTGAATAAATCTTTATTTAACGAGCTTTTGACATTTATCATTTTGATATTGCCTGGTTCAAACTGAAGTTGATAATGGTTCTATTGTCACCATATTATGGCACTGCATGTGTCTTGTGTGCATTTAAAAAGTTCTCGCATATGTATCATCTAAACAAACGCTTTTCGAATCTTTTTTTTTCAATTTCAATTAGTTGAAACGTTCTCTAAATTGACTTTTTTCTTTATTCTGGATTTAATTGTGCTCTATTGTATTCCTCTGTTATGCTTCATCAACCCTCAATGTGTCTGAGGCTGTTTGTGTACCTAGTATTTTCTTGTAGGATCAATATGATGTATGAAATATGAATATAAGGAATAGAAATCAAACTAAAAAGTCTATTGAACAATACAAATTGTGAGCAAAGCAAACGCGGACCTCTAAAAACATCAGAGGTGGGATCAAGTGCCATGGAGGAGTAAGCATCCCCTGTCGACCGGCCACATCCGCCATGTGCTCTTTATCATGATTGGGTAAACGGAAAAATCTTTAGACAATACAATGAGAAGTAAAATTCTAACAAGTGTATGGAAAACTTCGGTCAATATTCGACGAAACGATAGAATTGCTAACATGGTCATTGTGTCGACCAAACAATTTGCAAAATGTTGACTTTAAACGAGACTGATGATATCCTTGTTTCATTAATTTATTTGTCAATAGCTTGCCTCGTTTTAAAAATTGTTCATGTGTAGGACATGCTCTTGCGTATCGAATGAACTGGGAGATAAACTTTGTATGTAGGAGAGATATAAATGATCATAAAGTTCTGTTGGTAGTTTGTCCTCCTTCTCTTTCTCTTGTAAAATATCCAATTATGAACCAGATTGTCTGACTATGTGGTGTCTTTTCTTTCGAGTTTAAAGAGATACATCGAATCAAATGATAAATGAAAATGAATATTTTTAATTGATAAAACATCGTCGATATATCTAAATGTCAAATTGAGGATCACAGCTTAATATCACGGTTCGTTTCATTCTACGAATATTTTTCCATTTTTGTCTGTATGGATTTGGACAATTTTTTAATAACGTGGGTAGTCCAATATACACAGAATATCATTTGCATGTACATTTGAAGAATTTTAGTTATGAATAATAAACAGATAAATCAATCAAGATTATCTGATGGTTGGAAAAAATCAAGAGCGTCACAATCAATCAATCAAGAAAGATATATGTGATGTTGAAAAAAAATCAGGATCTTCTCTTCGTTTACCGGAGGTAATAGTAGTTTGCTTTGAAACATTTTGTCCACATCTAATTTATTTTCACCACTGCAAAAATTATAAGAATAAATATCAACTTACCACACCTTCAAACCAGTGTATTGCATGCATGTATATGATTCAAATGAATTTATTTCAACTTGAACGTTTTACATGATACAGTTGAAAATATTTAATGAAAAAGTTAACATTTCAATTACCTTCTCTTTATTTTGATCCACTCCGTCATACACAGGATATCCTGGTTTATATTCATCTGCTCTATATAAGTTGGTTGTAGTTAAACTAGGCATGGGCTTCTTTATGTCTGTCGGAAATTCTGATTCTGTTTAAAAAAATACTTCTGAAATCAAATAAATCTATTCCTATGGGTTTTTTTTCTCAAAGATGTCTTGACCACAACTAGTGTCAAACAGAAACAATAACAAAAAGGTATATTTAAAAAAACTGTGTAGCTTCATAAAGGACGAATACTTTGGAGGTGGAAAGGTAAATAGAAGGGAAAATATTGGAAAAACATTCAAAGCAAAATGTTCTAAGTTAAATGTATTTTAACAGAAATGCAATGATTTAATATGGACAGCAATCAAACTGCATTCTGTGCCAATACAAAAAGGGGGATTTTTTTTATTATTTCTTAATTATACTATATACATGTACTGGGCATACGGTAGACCAAAAAGGAGAAATATAGTTTCAATGGACTATCCTAACAAAAAAGGAATTAAAAATACTCAGGTTCAGAGACGAGATTTTAACAAAACAAAAATACTCAAGTTCAGAGATGAAATTTTAACTTGCTTTATCATAATAATGAGCTAAGTCGCAATCTTTTTAAGTACTTGATTAAATAACAATGTTTCAACTCGTTCTCCCCCAGATCTTCTTTGAAACTATGAAACTTTGTTTCCTATTTAGAAGAAAAAAATAAATTTCCCATTCATTCTTCTATTAAGTTTTATTTCAGTGAGTATGAAAAACAAACACAAAACTTGTTTTTGGTACGTTGCATGTGTTTAAACTTATACAGAGACAGACTGATGCAAGTACAACCTTTTCTCGTCTTTACAGCGTCATCATCTGTTTTGAAATCTTTATGGTTTGTAGATTCTGTGTTAGTATCCTGAACTTCTAGCATCCGAGATTTAGAAACATTTAAGTTTTGCTTTGTCTTGCTGAGAAAAGAAAAAAATAATACCTAATAGATGTTCACGTACATGAAATGAGAATATTTTGGAATAAGTTGCTGACTACTTTGTGTAAAAGAATTGGAGACTGTGATGAACTTGCATAAAAAATTAAGGCATCCATGATGCGCATTGACGTGGTAAAATTTTCCGTCTGAATAAAACATTTTGAACATAATTAGCCGTTACATAAAGACACGCCCATTTCTTCAAGGGAAGCGTGTTCGATCGATACATGTGCAGTGATAACTTCAGTAGACATACTCGGTGTAATACATGAGTTTTAAAGAAGAGGGAGTCTCTCAGTCTTTCTCCCGACTTCAAAATATCCCTATTTCAGCATAATTTGCTTGAAAGTGGAGGGTATTAAGACATTGCGACGAATTTTGCTTTCTCAATTCTAAACAAAAGGGCGTGTCATTATGTAACAAGAAAGACCCAAAGTTCCATTCAAACGAAAAATTTTACCACTTCAATGCGCATCATCGTACAATTTCTTTTAACATTACACATAATAGTTAAGATGCCTATTAAAGGATGGTTCAGACTTACCAAAATTGTTTTCCTGTTAATGTATACTTGTGAATCATGAAAGCAGTGGTAAAAAGCAGTCCCAAGAATAGAAATCCACCGAGAGCCAGTATGGCAGAGTTCCTTGTATCATTTTCAAATTGTAATGCTTTTTCTGTGGGTGACACATTGGTAGTTGTTGTGGATAAAGGGATCTGAATTGTTATCGATATAGAACTTTGACGGCTGGGTGTACCGTTGTCCTTTGCTGTTAATGTCAGTAGTAATGTTTTCCCTAAATACAAGGGAGTTAAGTCCTCTTTAATATAAATGCTACCATTACTCATAATTCCAAAATACTCTAACGAGTTTGAGGATTGGTCTAAAATGTAATAGAATTGACCTTGAGGATGCGTAGAAAGATCATTGTCATGCGCAGTAAAGTTTGTAACTATTGCACCAATCAGCTCATGAGATTGCAGAGTCAATGAAACAGAGGCCACTGAAAAGGCTGGAGAGAATTCGTTTTTGTATTCAATAAACACCCCAACAACAGTGGTATCCGAATTTCCTCCAGAATCACTCACGGTGAGAGTACAGTTAAAGTTTGTGGTTGTTCCTGGAATGTCAAGGTCATAGTCTCCCAGGAATGAGAACTGTCCTGTGTTTGTGTTGATTGACACTTTGTTGTCGTGAGGACTACCGCATGTCTTTTGAAAAATAAAAGTTTCGCCTATGTCAGGGTCTTTTATGTTGTAGTTTGGAAGAGGAAATGTTGATCTGCTCTGAAACAGAGATGAACAATCTTTTAAATTCATTTTAAGTGTTTTTGTACGATGAAATAACATTTGAAATAACATCCAACAGATGAACTCTAAGAATCCAATATTTGGATGAACTCTAAAAATCTGACCTTTGGATAAGCTATAAGGTCCCAATCTGGGAATAATTATAAACATGTAAAAGTCAACTTTAATCTTACACTGCCTTCCTCTCTGATAATTCGGTAGTAGTCTTCTGCAAAATAACAGGGTTCATTGACGTCTACGATTCTTATTGTTCCAGTCTGAGAGGCGACAGCAATGCCATCTGTACTGAGTACCACTAAAATTATGTCTGTTGTTGGCAGTATATCGTAGTCTATGTTATGCATGGAGGATGTTGTCACGATCCCCGCTTTAAAACAAAGCATACACTTATGAGCTTAGAGAGAAATTAGTTTGGTTCATTTTATGCATAAATAGTCCCATCCTTATGTCAAACACTATTATCCTGTTTAAAACCGTATATAAATATTGCATGTAGTTGAGTGTAACAAGAAAACCATTGGCAACCGAGGCGCAGCCAAGGTTGACAATGGTTTTCTTGGGGTGAAAATTTTCAATGTTACACTCAACTATATGCAATATTTATTATATTATACTGAATGTTTTATCCAAATACATATTACATTAAACCATGGGCGCATAAATTCTGCACTGTCAATATTTTTTTTTGGAATATCACCCGTCGTCAAGCAATGTTGACTTTTGCAAAGCCGGAGGGCGTGGCTTCATTATTCAGCGGGTAGTAGTGTTTTTTAACAAATGTTTCTCGACGAATCAGATTAAACTAATTTACATCAAAGTATAATATCATGAAATAACGACCACTTCCTCGTTTGTTTTTCATCAATAACCGAAATTAACGCAATTCCCATGCACCTAAAAAACTTCATGAGGTAATGGGATCGGGTGCCATGGAGGGGTGAGCATACCCTGTCGCTTGCATGGTCACACCCACCGTAAACCCTTCGGCTAAATCGGATATCCGTGTACAAGTCAGTCTGAAAATAATGGTCTATCAATTTATATTGAAGACGTCAGTAAGTATTATTCGACCTTGCAATACTGAGTAGTTTGTATTTGCAAACGAGGTCATAATATCGACCATAGGATTTACGTATTATGAATTCAGATTCAAAGATTGTTGATAACCCTTGATTTATCAACTTATGGAAGTATAGCCTGTCTCGGTTTAGAAATCGATAATGAGCAAAACATGTTTGATATGCAGAAAACTAAAAAAAAGGTCCATTATGTAAAACTCACTTACTTGCTGGGTCAAGATCAAAGTATTTCATTCCGTAGGCTGGAGTAAAAACACCGTATACTGGTAGTGAGTTTGATTCGGCGTCTGATACCGTAACTTTCAGAACTGATTGACCCAAGGGAGAATTTTCATTCACAGTGTTTAGTCCTAGGGTTGAAATAGATGGATCGCTGTTCCTATCTGAATATAACATTCAAAAAATTGAATTTTTTTCAAACAAATCGAAGTTCTATATAACTGAATTAGCAATTAAGTATGATGATTTACTTTGTTATACCTTTAAAAATTGCTTCCTATGTAAATCTATACTAAGACATCAAACATTTCCAGTGTTTTACTGAGCGGTCATAAAAATCGATGCAGAGTGAGAAATTGAACCTGTCGATGAGATATTGGACCGCTTACGTCACACTGGGCGGGATCAGCTAAATCTTATTTGCATTCGTTAGTGTTTGACAGTGACGGAATTGACCGAGTTTAACCGCAGTGTGGGTAAACGAAATTTACACCATGGAACCCAGCACAAGACACATGTATAACAAAAAAAGGTATAACAAAACATTTATTGACTGTGTTCTCGGGCAAGTTTTGTCGACCCCTCGAATCAAAATGTTTGCCTTCGGTCTAACGGTCTAAGGCAAACAGTTAAATTTGGTTTTTGGGTCCGACAAAACGCATATTGCCCTCGAACCCAGTCAATAAAGATATATATAGTGATAGACTAATGTTGATCATAGTAAGTTAATGTTATCATGGTAAGCTAATCAGTATAATTTGTTGAAGCAAGATAAAGAAAGCTTAGAATTAAATCTTCGTTCTTATCGTTACTGTGGTTTTAAGTTGGATTTCATTTTCTTGAAACTAATGTCGTTTTCTTATCAACGGGTATTTCATCATTAAACATAGAAAAGGGCATATTTTGACAGAATTACAGCCTTAAAAGTCAAAACAAATTCCGCATTATATACACTGTACAACGTACCACGATTAATTAAAGTATTATGATTTCTCATGATGGTCAATAAAATAGAAATAAATAAATAAATCGAATTATTAGTAAATGGTTGCCAAAAAATAAGAATTTCTGGCATTAACATGAGAGTTATTTATATCTGTGTTCCAAAATAGACTGTCACGGTAGCTTAGTCGGTAGAGCGCTCGTTCCGTGATCGGAAGGTCGTGTGTTCGAATCACGGCCGCGACTTTCCTAAGTCGATAAAAAATAGGTACATGTAGCAACTGTTCCTTCGCCAAGCGCTCGGCACTTTAAAGTGAAAGTTGCGGGTCATTCGGACAACACCTTAAAGACCGAGGCCCGTGTCAAGGTAGGCGTTGGCATGATAAAGAACCCTCACTGCTCAATGAGTAAAGGTCTAAATTTGAAGCCCTTCACCGGTATATGGTGACGTCTCTATATGAGTGAAAAATTCTCGAACGGGACGTAAAGCAACATAAGTCAATCAATCAAATCAAAATAGCTATATCATGTTTATTATAGTTCAGGAATTATGCAAAACGTTAATTAAGTTAAAAAGGGGTTATATGCATAATCAAACAGATCTACCCAAACAGAAGAATTGAATATAGCACAGATCAAGCTCAGTCACAAAGTTGATCACTGAACACTGGTGAAGCGCTCAAGTTATTAAACTACGAAAGCCGAGAAGGTTCATTCGACATTCGAAATTTGAAATACGAGATTCGAAATCTTAACTTGAATTGGAATGTCGAATGGTGTTCTAGGCTTTCGTATTGAACTCAGTGTATCATTATAATACAGTAAACATCCATATCTTTATAATACGTACTTGTGATGGTGACGCTAAGAGTACCTCTGTCAGCTACTTGAGTATAGGCGTCTCTTACTCTCACAGTTAAAGTATATGACGATTGACTGTGTGTGATAAGACGTGACTTCAGCAATATGGCGCCGGCTGAAATCATATATTATCAGAAACCAGCAATTCGAATATTAGTGTCCATATATTTATCTATCTTTTGTCTATCCATCCATTTTCGAGATGACACGAAATATTGTGGTTTTCCTAGAAAACGTCAATTTTCGTGGATTTCATAGTTGGGGTAGACATTAGGTATCAACAAACCACATTATCTAATAGAAAAAATGGATCGATGACGTCCTCGAATGTTTTTTTTTTTATATATATATTTGTTTATAATTTTTTGTTTTAATATTCATTATTTTTTTTTATTTTCAAAAATTCGAAATGCAATGCCTAAGAAAATAAGGAAACTACAGTAAATTCTGTTACTTTTCGAAAGTGATTATGATGTACTGTAAAGTATAGTATTAATCATTATATTTACAATCGAAGATTTTAAAGGGACATCCGGAAGGACTGCAGCTTAGAGAAAAAGTCATTGGATCCCCTTCGTTATCTGTGGCAGTTACGTTGTAAACAAGGTGACCAATCAAAACTGTCCTTGCATCTAAAATCACACTAACGCCTCCTCCTAAAACAAAATGTTATCTGAATATGTCTCCAGTAAAAATAATGTGAATAAAGTATCACAAATTAAATTTATACAAACTTTTATTACTGAAATTACACAGTTGAACTTTGGTATCTCGAACACTGATATCTCGAATACCATGGATATGTCGAAGTAATTTGGAAGTCCCAAACACATATTTCTTTAGTATTTTACCCTTGATATCTCGAAGTTTTTTCTCGGTCCCATCGAGTACGAGATAACGAGGTTTGTATTTAAAGATAAGAATAAAACTTACAATGGTCGTTCCAAGTTAAGGTTTCAAGCATTGGGGCTTTACTGGGTTTAGACTTGATGAGTTTATCTTTTATTTTTGAGATATTTGAGATAATAAAAAGGGTAGCTTTTTGCATATATGTTGGAATGTAACGGATTTATTTGAGTCCAGAAGAAGATATTTTTACCGAGGTTAGAAATGATAGGTTTGGAGTTAGCTGTCACTGCCACTGTGTGTGTCGCTGTTTTTGTGTTAGTACCGTCTGTACACTGCGCTGTCAGAGAATAACTAGACGTCACTGAAGCATCAAGCTGCGGCCATTTTCTCAAGTATAAACTGTAACCTGCAGTATGAAATCTTCAAGTTAATCAATCACGAAGTATCGGAGTTACCCCCCCCCCCCCAAATGTTATCTTAGCAAAACATACTTTAAAATGTCAACTCTAACAAACGTGTACTTACATCGTATCACATAGAATAATTATGAATCATTTTGGGCATATGTAGTGCCATATTAATTCTTTGCAACATTGATAAATGACGATTGGATAACGATTATAAATGTTTGTCGTTTTAAGGAAAGTCTTGATTTGTCTAGAAAAATATAGCTCGCGTAGAAACAAAATAACAGTTGTTCAACACAATGCGAAATAAACTTCGTACCCAACACTCCAGTATTATTCTGTCGCACGGTAAATGGCACATTGGCGGTCTGGAGTGAGCAAAAGTAATCACGCATTGGATCCACCACGTGGATGTCCGCCAACCATTCCTCACTTGCGGAATTTTCCGATACGGAGGATGAAGTCGGTGAAAATGACATTGTTATATCCTTCAAAAGACGATGTCTTGTTACATGCAAAATGCATTGCTGTTATATGTAATAGTATAAAAAAAATGTTAATTAGCTATCTAGATTCTTCTCATAGTATCTTATCACAGAACGTGAACACAGTTCAGTTTACCGTTTTTCCTGATGCTATTCTACACAAAGAACACGTACCGTATTAGTAACAGAAAAATGTGACCGTGGCAGTAGCCTCTTTGTGACAGCTGTCAATGGCCTTGACCCCGACCTTGTATGTTGACCCCATTGGAATCCTGTCTTGCGCAGTCTTGATACGAACTGGAAAATGGTAGATTAAAAAAAAAACACTACAAGTGACCTAAATACTTAGGTTTGTGACGTAAACAAGGAGGTGTGTTTTGCTTTGATTGATTCATGTTAATTTCGTATATAAATAGCTCAGATTCTGGTAGGTTTTTTTCTTTAATAACATACATGTTGTAGTGTCTACTTTAAAATATCCTGACGTGTCTGATTTCGTGAACAGTGTGATGACATCAGTACTATCAGCGTCTGTAACAGTTAAAGACTGCACAACTGTATCCTGGGGTGTTTCTTCAGGAAAAGTGACTAAACTTGGTATAGTGCCAAAGACGGGTGTCGAACCTACATACAAAATGTACATCAAATATTAGTTGCTCAACTTATTATGCATTTATCAAACATTATTATAACTAGAACTTTGATGAGAAGATGAAATGTTTTCTTCCACACACCATTGATTTCTACTTCATTGCCAGTTTATTGGTTTAAAATCTGTGGGTTAGAAGAGAACAAGTGTAAAAAAGAGGGAGGATAGAAGGGTGGGGGGAAAGATGGAGGAATGAAAGAAAAAACAAGACAGATCAGAACCGAAATTTGAGAGGGTGGAGGGGGTGAAGGTTTTGGAAGAGTGCAAAGATGCTTATATCCCCAAGCTTTTTGTGTTTCCTTTTTTTGTTTAAGTCTAATTGACATTTTGTTTACTGGCTGAAACCGTCGCCCTAATGGCGTAGTTCCTAGATACGCCCTCTGGTGACACAGTACTCCAGTCATGAAGATAACCAGGCTGTAATGTCGACATGGTAGCCTCTACTCTATTCAAGATGGCGGTACCCGCTGCATATTTCACCGTAGGGCCATTACTCTGCCTGTTGGACAAGAAAAACAGACTCAGGTTGTCATTACATACAATCAAGATGTAAAAATTTAAAGCTGTTATCAACTTACGAAAACTGAGTTCTGTGACAAAATGGTTATTTCAAGTAATGGAAAAAAGTGCTATAAAACTTTGATGGAAAAACGGAAAAAATTGATTTCTGAAAAGAAAAATGCGGAAAGCAGTCAATTGACAAATTACTGGAATTTTAGTACACCAACCATCCAATGTAATCTCCATGTTGCACCATTATTTTGTCTGTCGGAGAAAATGTTCCAGATCCTGTTTTGATAAAAATAAGAAATAATTTTCAAATAGTTAAAATATCGAAATATTATATCAATTATAAACATTTGATTACAATTGAACTACAAAAGTAAGATTTTATTCGTTTTAAAACGAAGTAAAAGAATATCATTGGACCTGCAGTGAAGACATTTTGTCCCACAAGTTGGTAGACATTTGAAGACAGCTTTCTCCAGACCTGGAAAGTGATACTTCCTGACCCGGATGTAGAAATTTCCCAAGATGTGATTGCTCCACAACACGTGATCTGATAGAGAGGATCCTCAATTAGGAAGGCGGAGTCTACAGAAAATATTCAACACGATCAATTAAGATTAATATGAAGCTTAAATTAGCAAAATAGACTATTGCTGTTACAGGTATTACATGTAATTTAGAAAAATGTTTAACTTTCCAAATTACGTATTTGAACAATGTTGATGAGAATAACAAACTGATACATGTAGTATGTAAACAGTTGTTTTCTCACTAGTTTTGTATCTACTTACTGGTGTTATGTCTATTTACTGGTGTTGTGTCTACTTACTGGTGTTGTGTCTACTTACTGGTGTTGTGTCTATTTACTGGTGTTATGTCTACTTACTGGTGTTATGTCTTCTTACTGGTGTTGTGTCTACTTACTGGTGTTGTGTCTACTTACTGGTGTTATGTCTATTTACTGGTGTTGTGTCTACTTACTGGTGTTATGTCTACTTACTGGTGTTGTGTCTACTTACTGGTGTTGTGTCTGCTTACTGGTGTTGTGTCTACTTATTGGTGTTATGTCTTCTTACTGGTGTTGTTTCTACTTACTGGTGTTATGTCTACTTACTGGTGTTATGTCTACTTACTGGTGTTGTATCTACTGACTGGTGTTGTGTCTACTGACTGGTGCTGTGTCTACTGACAGGTGTTATGTCTTCTTACTGGTGTTGTGTCTACTTACTGGTGTTGTGTCTATTTACTGGTGTTGTATCTACTGACTGGTGTTGTGTCTACTGACTGGTGCTGTGTCTACTGACAGGTGTTATGTCTTCTTACTGGTGTTATGTCTACTTACTGGTGTTGTATCTACTGACTGGTGTTGTGTCTACTGACTGGTGCTGTGTCTACTGACAGGTGTTATGTCTTCTTACTGGTGTTATGTCTACTTACTGGTGTTGTATCTACTGACTGGTGTTGTGTCTACTGACTGGTGCTGTGTCTACTGACAGGTGTTATGTCTTCTTACTGGTGCTGTGTCTACTTACTGGTGTTGTGTCTACTTACTCGTGTTGTGTCTACTTACGTGTTGTGTCTACTTACTGGTGTTGTTTCTATTTACTGAATAACAGATGTTGTGTCTACTTGCTTACGTTGTGTCTAATTACTGGTGTCCTGTCTACCTACTGTTGTGTCTACTGACTGGTGTTGTGTCTACTTACGTTTTTTAGTGATTTCGTACTATTTCTCGTGTTGCGTCGTTTACTTTATGATAACACGTCTACTTATAGGTTTTGTGTTTACTTACTCGTGCTATGAGTGGAGGTGCTGGAACTATAGGAGGCAGGGTTAACACCTACAGTGGTTCCTGTACACGACGTACCTGAAAAAAAACATCTGTAGTATATACATGTACTGGTATAGTACATGTACTGTACTTGATAGATACATGTTCCTGTAATTTGTAGATATTTGATAAAAATAATATGTATTTCCACTTTTAGTCTTTCTAATATAAGTTAATTTCTTTATACATGTACAGGGTGTATTCCAACATGAGGATTGTGGTTCAATCAATGATTACAGAACATATTTCGAGTTTTTTGTGTCTTTATTATGTGTACTAAATGCAACGAAATTTACGTCCATTTATCCATTGATTAAATTTCGTTTTTAATTGTAGCATATAATTTATCACTTGTATGCTACTAAGGAAAAACAATAGTACGAGGGTTGTTCAGAAAGTTTGCGGACTTCTGTCGTATTTTTCTTTTTTATTTAACGTCATAATGTATCCAAATTTGGTAGAAATGTTCAAATGATTTGTATTTAACTTTTTTTTAAATATCATGATTTATTTCAAAGTTGTTCAGACTTAAAAACTGCGAAAATTGGATCGCGGAGCAGGTCATAATTTAGTAATTTACAAACTATACTCTAAATAAAGTCTGTAAAATCATATCCCTTATAAAATGGCTCAAAACCTATACGTTCAAATTAATAATTGTTACATCGTTTCATATTCCAGCATAGTTTGCTCCGTGGAAAAGAAATCAATTTCAGAAGAAAGGTGGTCCTCATTGAAAAAGGCAAAAAAGATTACGTCTTAGAACGTCACGGAGCAGAAGTTAACGATACGATTTTGTGTTGTGCTCTTGAAAATTCCAAAATAAACTCTAAAAATGATGTAGGAAGCATGAAATATGTCAAAAGTGAGTCATGCGTGTGTGTAAAAATGGCCCAGGCGGTATTTGAATGATATAGATTCTGTATCAGACGAGGGCGATCTGTGAGGAAACGGATTATCTGTAAAAATCTGATCCAAAACTTATCAGTTGCTGATCTTGTGGAAACACAGTTAAGCGATAAAAAGAAATAAAACATTGACAAACAAAATTATGCTACTGGAACAATTGTTAGCAAAATAAATTTCAATTGATAGAGAAACGTTTATTGGACCAGATTGTGGGAAACGTATAGGGAGAATATATTTTTGAAAACCTCATGAAGCTATGTTTTTGACGTTTAATAATATACATTTATTGACTGGGTTCGAGGGCAACATGCGTTTTGTCGGACCCAAGAACCAAACTGTTTTCCTGAGGCCGTTAGGCCGAAGGCAAACAGTTTGGTTCGAGGGGTCGAAAAAACGCATTTTGCCCGAGAACACAGTCATCAAATGTTTTGTTATACCTTTTACTTTTTATTTTGACATAACATGACGTAAATTGTGTTTACTGCGGTTTAAACTTGGTCAATTCCGTTAAGTTCTGTCAAACTCCAACGAATGCGAATAAGATACAGCTGACCCCGCCCACACTGGACGTTCGCGGTCCAACATCTCATCGACAGGTCCAATACAGGTATCTCGCTCAAACATCAATTTTTTATGACCGCTCAGTAAAACATTGGAAATGTGAGACTTTTTTAGTATAGAATTATAAAGGAAACAATTTTTAAAGGTATAACAATGTTGTTTAGTGTGCTCCAGGGTTACCAAACATATTGATTTTAAAATTAAGTAAATTGATTTCTATTAAATCGAATGGAATGAAACTTCACACATCAGCAAAATAAATATTTTTACATATGATGTGCTCATTTTCAATTTCTTGAAATTAGTATAACTAAGATGCACATGGTCCGCGAGCTTTCGGAACAACCCTCGTACATGTAAGTAAAAACAACGTAAGAAATTTTGTTATGCAAAATGTTCAAAGTACTAGTACATGTAATTAATTAATTCAAATAAAGAAACAAAGCTGAAATTAATGAAACGTATGTAAGAATCTCAAGCTTACCCTGGGTGACAACTTTGTTTAAAAATGCGAATAATAACAGAATAATTATTTTGTTCCTTGTCGAAGTCATTTTAATTTCAATTTTTATTCTCTGGAGCCAGTGATTGTCTTATGGCGTGCAGTCTTTATATTCTCTTCTTGAATGGTTGATTTCATTGTCTACAGCTATTTAAAAGGAACCTCTCTTTAGATTGTATTTTGTGAATGAAAAAGGTAAACAAATAATTTAAACAATAAAACAATTAAACCATAAAATGTTTTCTGTGTTTAAATATTAGTGCAGGGATAACGGTTGCGACATTGTAGAAAGAAACATATAACCCGTGTAAGCGAGTTATGTATTTTTTCCTGCAATGTTTGCAACGTTATCCCTGCATTAATATGTGCAACTAAAAGGAAGACATTGGGGACAAAAAGAATTCATGACTTTTTTTTAATAGTTATCATTTAATGTTGAAACGATATGGTCTGCAACATTGCGTATTTAGAGAATAGTACATACCCTTTTCCATATTACATCCTGCATCAGCACGATACTGGATGATATTCATTTGGTGTCTCGGGCTGATGCAGGAAGTGAAAAGGGAATCTGTTATTGTGTTTATTACATACTTAGTAGTAATATAATAACATACTATATACATCTACTTGAGCAAATACAAATAAATAATCACTGACAGGCCCATAGGAATGAATTTCTGCTTTGGGGTACTACTTAACAAAAATTCTTGACAAGGGTGAATTAAAAAAAATGACAGGCACATATTTATTGATCTGCTCTATAAATACAGTCAATGCTAATAATTTTTAGGGCTTAGCGTATGTCTTTTGATATTGTCTCAATACCTGCCAAATATCTCATTGATATCTGAAGTCACAAAAAGTTATGCCCAGATATGATGCTAAAAATGCCAGGAGTGCAACATCTTTTTGTGAAATTTTTGAAAATTTAATATTTTTTCAAAAATCTTTGAAATAAATAATAATGATTTATGTTGGAAATAAAGACTTTGTGATAAAATTCAATGTATTAAGCATTAAAGAACTGGGTACGTTAAGTATAACAGAGCGGCCCTGTCTCCAAATTTGATTTCAGTTTTTTACAAACATGCCTACGATTTGTCCTTTCAAAACCATTTTATTTTTTTTAAATTATCACAAACCGTTTTTCCATCAGAGGTCTCGAAAAACGGGGAGTTTTCTTTAGAAATTACAAATTTTGACATGATAACGTCATCACGGCGTTACTGATTTTAACGTTACGTTATAAGAAATCTGTAAATTCTCTGAACCGGAAACTATTTACTTTAACCTGCCTTATGTTCCAGAAAAAAATTTTGAACTTTTATTTCAATTCATCGTAATGTATCTTTGATAGATGGAAGGAGTAAAATAATTTAAAGGAAATATAATTTTATTACAAACGATTTCATCAGACAAGTAATGAAGCTTGATTCATCCATACAGACGAGACAAGGTAGTACTTCTTTTAAAATTGTGTTCGTATCAAATTTATCATTTTTTTATGTAAAAATGTCCTAATGATTTCTTCAATCATTTTCCGCATTGTCTATGAAGTTACATTAAAATTTTTAAAGATACATGAATCAGTATTAAAAAGAAAATTGGAACGTCCCATATAAAGTTGTCAAAATTGGATATTTGGCAATGAAAGAGTCAACATCACTCCCCTTTTCCATTCCAACAAATGGCAGCGCTATTAATTTCGTATTTTCCATTTTTTTTTTTTTTTTGGATAAACGTATAAATTACTCACTACTACGGGGTTACGAGGTGTCTGAAACTGCGTTAAAAAAATTTTTCTCTGATGTTAGGATTTCTTTTATAGATCGTTATTTATTCATTCCAGTGGATCCGCTTTACTGCACGGTTCATGTAAAATACCCTAACCAGGAACAATCCCCTGTATACTTACACACAATCACTTTCTATGTTAAAACCACAAAAGGAGACCGGTTATAAGAATCCTGATTGATGAGCCCATTCCAAGTTTTTTCTTTGTTTAGCGTCCATCCTAACCTATCTTCCTATCCGAGAAAACACACAAACCAAAAGGGGAAAAACGCAGCATTTTCAGAACAGTAATAGAATTTCTTATTATCATTTGAGACCTCTCCTCGCCATAAAACTTAGTTAAACTACTAGTTTAATGAAATAAAAAAAAATTAATACACCACTGAAAAAAGAGAGATGTCAATCCCAAAAGAGTAAAATGCATTTCAGAGATTCGTATTTGTTGATTTTAATTTGAGTTAACTTTGTGATTGCGTTTCAAAGCTTTTTATTTATCAATTTTAATTTGTGTTTGTTTTTAATTTCATAACCTCAAAATTAATTCGTCCGCGTACACTGCACATAAAAAAAAACTTGGAATGGCCTTATCATAACTTGCGTTACAGACCTTGAAAAATTTTGCTTCAAATAAAAACCGTGAATCTCCGAAGGCTTAAAAAGGGTGTGCGATTTGTTTAGATCAATTTTTCGATGAACAAAATATTTTATATGGCCAATGCTAATAATTTAATTTTAGAGACAAACACATTAATTTGCATGTACATACTCATTACTTGATTCACAAAATCGAAAATTATATGCCTAAATCTGCGTAGTGAATTCGACAGGAAATGCACACGAATCCTCGGGAAGGGATTCAGAAGCCTGAAGTACACTCTAACGGGCATAATTCCCTAAAACTAAAAGCTATAAAAATAAGGATATAATATTATATGTATGATTTAAATATAGAGTTTATCCGCGTCAGCTATGAAAATATGCGCATGTCGTCTTCAAAGCAATGCAGCATGAAACGGCAGACACTTGCATTGATATCGATCAGTAAAAGATCGATCAATGGTCACAGTCCAGTGGGGAGCCAAAGGAAATTGGAAAGGGATGTATTTAGTTTTAAATCAAATTCTTGATATAATTTTTTATTGGTACTCATTACAGTACATGTATAATTTGATTATCAGTAAGCCCCCCCCCCCCCCTTCTATTTACATGAGACAAAATACAAATAATTGAAATGCAGAATAACAGAACACTCAAATAGAAGAATCAAAATTCACTTTCACGTCCCTTTTTATAAGCTACATAGAAATTTTATTTCTAGTTCAGTTATCAAATCTTATGTTATTTTGTTACTTGTGGGAACAATATGCAAAACACGTCACAGTGCTTCTTTATAGAATTATCCTTGCCATTCCCGGATTATATCACTAGCTTGATTATGTTTCTTTTTCATGTAAGTGTCTGATAAATTTTTAAAAAATCTTTAAAAATATACCTAACAAACTGCTGACATGAATTGCAAGACGATACATCACGTCATCTACTAAGACAAAAACTGCATTAAAATAGATAAAGATTTTCTTTAGAACTCCTCCCTATGTTTACATGTTACACAACCGTAGGTAAGATACATGTATTTGATAAATTATTATTTCGGTGACAATGATAATTTTATCACTTCCTTTGGATACATTAACTCTCTGGGGCATTTCCTTGTGCATTTGTCCTTGTAGTAACGATAAAATACTTTAATTCGTTTTTTTTTCTGGAACGGATTATCATCACAGACGGACTTTGAATCTTTAAAATTTAGTGGTAATGTGCACCGCCGTTTTCACAGAGGTGATATTGGACAGGACGCTCCTCCAGCCCCGATAAACATCTATTGGAATACTAAACATATTTCCAATGAAATATATTACTATTATTTTATGGATAATCTGGATAAAATCCTTTTAAAAATACTCGCTTACTTCAAGATTAACAATAGTGTACATGTAGTTAATATGTACATTCGTTTTTCTTTTAAAACAGATAAATATCTATAGAGTAATCTTTTTTCTTTTTCTTTTTTTTTTTCATTTCAAGACTTGGAATGCCTTAAAATGTATTAGGAATACAATTTCTGAAAAAAAAAATAACGAGTTAAACCATCGATTATGGAGCGGAAAGGAGGTGTCTTGTCCACAAGTAATGCAAGATCGTGTTTGTATTTCTTACAGAACTGCATGGGAACAGATAATCTCTATTTATAGACAATAAAAAAGGTTGATTGTATCATGTTTCACTTAAATTTTCATAGAAAATACCGAAAGCGTACACCACTGTATACGTTTTTTAAGCCTTATAGACTTGGTCAACATAATTATCTAAAATTCCTTGTAAATTATAAATTAAACCCAATTTTACTTGAAAACACTGATGTCAATATTCCGATCAGCATGATAAATGTATATATAATTAATAAGTGTAAATACATGTAAGAACTTTTCCATTCCCAGCTGCTGACCTTCAATAAGTAAATGTAGGTCAGCAGTGGCAGATTTAGAAGTATTTTGTCATATATAAACACTTCCTGATAATGCGATAAAACACTAGAATCCTTTCTGACATAATCAATTTTGTCAAATAAAAATCTGCAACAATACAGTGACAAGGATAACAAGTTTTGAAAAGAAATGTTCAAATGGTGACTGCTATACATGTAAGCCAAGCTTCCAACCCCCCCCCCCCCTTGTGTTTTGACATTCATGAACCCCAGTCATATATAAATTGAAAACGAATAAAACATGCTTTAAAAAAGCTGATGGTTTTCAATAAAAATGTTAAAAATGTTAATTAAAAATAATCTCTTCTTGAAGTCAAATAAAGTCAATGTTCACTATGAAAGAGACGCGCGTTTTAATTGGAGGTACATGTAGGATTAAATGTAAATTGATTGTGTGAACCATCCCAACTTATGTCGTTAAATTACTTTTTCACGCTGCAAATATTGATTGAATAGTTATCATAGTTGCGAAGACTGAAGAAATTGTTTCAAGTATATATATTTTCAACATGATTGCTCTTTGTGACGTCATTTTTTCAATGCATTGCGTCACTAATTTACATGTAATGTCCCATAGTAAATTTCACTGAGAAAGGTTCATATGGTTTTCATTTGCCTAAATAATTGTATTACTTTTTTTTTCAAATGCAGGATTGAATTTAAAAGACAATAAAAAATAATGAAGCCTTCAGATATAGAATTAAACAATTAATTTCTTTAAAAATATAGATTTTATTGTGGAGAAAAGGTGACGTCTATCCAAAAATGCAGCATTTTTTACTTCAATTTTTTGGAAAAACGGATGTGGCCGCACTTTTGTAAGGTTATTTTTTCTCTTTAATATTAAAAATCGTAGTGTATTTGTTTTTTCTGCAAAGTTTCGCATAAATACTCGGATGCGGCCATATCGAAATATAGACTTGAAGAGGAGGAAAACGTCCAAAATAGGGGAATTCCGGAATATTAGACCGGTTTTGAACGTTATATAAATGAAAGGGCACGTGAGTTGAGAAAAATTTGTTCCCATTTCACACACAGGGAAACTTAACACTTAATTGATACAATTGATAGAATGTAATCGTACGTTTAATTTTTGCCGATTTTACAGGGCCGTGAATCGGTCTTAACGTACCCAGCTCTTTAGATTGTAGAAACTTTTGTTTCTCCAAGTTATGATCATGGTTGTTCCTG